TTTGGTGTTATGTGGTCCGGTGAGATCCATGTGGCTTTGTGTATGTGTTTGTGTGGAAATATTGTGCCGCCTATAACCAACTTGTTGAGTGCACATAGATTTGTAAATCTCTCGCCGTTCCCGTTCCTTTCTCACAGTTCATGTCGTCCATTATATTTTTATACCCGGTGTTGTCCATTCCGACTTTGGCGTTTAGGTCTCCCATCAGGACTATGAGATCCATTCTTGGGCATTTCTCTATGATTGATTTCAGTCACTCATAGAACTTTTCTTAATTGTCTTCGTTGCTATCATTTGTGGGTGACTAACTCTGGACAACATTCATTTTGATTCCCTCCTACTTTGTTTTGAAGGATGCCTTGATTATTCTAGATCCATGGGATTCTCATCCTATAAATGCCTTACGTGCTCATTCGGAGAGCATTAGAGCAACTCGCTGAGTGTGTGAATCACTTTCTTCTTCGTGAGCAGACTACAACATCATCTCTTCTGAATTTATTCTTTTTCGTCCAGATTGTGTCCAATGGATTTCACTGATTCCGAGAACCATCATGTTGTATCTTCTCATTTCCGTGGCTATTTGACTGGTCTTCCACATTGTCCAAACATTCCATGTACTTATAAAAAGTGTTTCTGTGTTTGTTAGAAGGAGCATCGTCCTCGTGACTCTCGAAAAATCTCGGGTTTCATCATGAGGCTTCATTATTCTACTGAATTAAGATCCTTCCACTCGGAGGAGAGAGTTTAGATGGTTCAATTCGTTTTTTCTTGTTAGTGATTTTTTAGAAAGGTTATTTTCTACGGGATGATGTGGCTGACCAAAAGTAAAATACTATTTACTGGTCATTTACTGCTAATGTTCTATCGTTTTTTAAAAAAATGATCGTTTGAAGAGGTCATCAGTGAATCCTAGAAATTAATTATAATCGTAGATTATTTATTAAATTATTCTATAGCAACCTCAAATTAATAATCATATACTAGCAATCGTAATAATGATAAAAATAACATTGTTTTGTTTTGTTTTTCCAATTGAATCTCTTTTATTCAATTGACCTTATGGGGACGTGTTTTTGTATATTCTCTAGACCGGTAAACTCTATGACACTTAAAATATCATTAGTAAACTAATTCAGAGAAATAGACTGTACAAATACTGAAAGCTTTGTCAGAAATGACTGATGTTTTTTATTGTTATGCGAAAACCCGGACAATATATATCTAGTCATCAGGTGTATCACAAAGAATGTTATGCACGCACAAAAATTTAATTCACCTTTCAAGTTAAAAGAACTGAAATTGTCGTCTTAGGAATTCAGTTACTAGAAACAAACGTTTATTATGGCTTATATACAAAGATTAGAGGCTTATTATTGATCATTGAGCAACTCAAAAACTCATTCAACCACTGACTAATCCTCATTGAATTAAGTTACTGCTACAAATGAACATCTCCATTTCATTTTTTTGTATTACCAATATATTGTTTTACATTATTAGAAAAGCAAATGTTATGCCTCTTACAACTTTCATTAGAGTACATAACCCTTAAGCACTTCAGAAATATAAATCTATGCAGTAAACCAAAGCTTATATCTGAAGGCTAAAAATGTTTTGTGATTTCGTATTAATGACACTGACGATATCTGGGTGTATATAGAAAGTAATATTCCCGAATCTCATGTAACCTTTCGATATATATATATATCTGTCACTTATAAATTATATGGTTTATTGTATATGCCATTTACAATTGATTTTGCTTCTGCGAATTTCGCCCCACGGGATATACAGTTAACAACAAAGAGAAACTATTATTTGCCATAAATACAACTTAGTATTGTTTGTTTGAATCTTCCCATCGATTTGTTAGGACTGCAACTGGTCAGTCTCTAATTGGCATATGTGCATACTGTGCGTATTGCCTCGATATAGCCTTAATTCACAAGCATGGTTAGCAGAGATGGATAGTGGCTAGCAGTGGAATCCAGGACGCGCGTTTCGTCCTATTTGGGACTCGTCAGCTGAATGTACCTGCATCTCAAAGTTGATGTTCACTCTGGGATTCGAACCCAGTACCAATTAGAGACTGACCAGATGCAGTCCAGTTGCAGATTTCACTGCTAGCCACTATACATCTCTGCTAACTATTATTTGCCATGGCCAAAAAACAATAACTATTAAATTTTATAGGCTCTTTTAATCACCAGTACTAAACATAACAGTAGTTCCTAATAATAAACATATTTTTTCTTAGGTCGCAATGAGAAAAAGATTGGGATATAACAAAAAATATATATTTATCACTAACTTTCTACCCAATGTTCAATTTATTTGAAACTATCAAGTCTAACCTTGATAATAATGCCTACAAACTCAGTAATTCTTAAGATGATTAGTCGTCAAACGGATAGTATAAATTCATCTTCTGCAAACAATTAAAACTAATGCATCCAAAATTACCAAGGTAGGCCTTCATAAAATGTGTTATTGAGTTTGTCCTTCTTGGTTTTTAAATTGTCTGCTTTAGCTTTATAGTGTTTAGAGCTATAACCAGTTATAGTTCTAAGATAAATAGATATTTGTTCAGGATTTAGCCTGCTCAATAACATAAATCCTATAAGTTTTTCGATTCAATAGATTGCATGTACTGCATTTTCCAAAGTTTTATTACTCTAGAACTTACTGAAAATATCAATAAATAAATAGCGATGATGAGTCCCCGTAAATGGTTGAAAATACACCCACTAATCTCAAATTATTAGGTTATTTTGCTTCCTTGAGTTTAAAATAGTAAATGCACATATATCAATGAAAAAAAACATATACCTCCTAATGAATTAACTATTAGTTAGTTCCTCTTATTTCCGATCTCGACCATCATGGTAGACATTCTCGTGAATAATACAAATGATTTGTACTTTTCTCAGAATCTCTAGTGGAAAATCACACATGTTTTAAAACCTTACGAACCAAATATATTACGTGAAAGATTATAGGAACTTTTAGAAGTAATGTACTTTTGTTTTTTAATGCTACTAGTTTATTGGTCTAATTGATACATATTTTTAAAAATTTTCTTGACTTGTAATAAAATACCAAATCATCATTTATCAAAAAACGATGGGAATAATCTCTACATGAACCATGGAACACTTATTTCATTATGAAGTTATTTGTACAAATCTGTATTTCTCAAATATTTATAAAGTGCTTCATCTTATTTATATTTTAGTGCTATTTTGTTAAAATTGTTTAGTTGACAAAGAAAATTAATTTCGTATATCCAGTATTTGAACAAAACATTTTTTTCTATTCTGACTAGTCATTATGTATTCAAAGAATATTTTACCTAAATGCAATTTATCTACCTCAAAGATAAGTAAATGTACGGATTTTCAAAACAACTCTTTTACTTCAGCAGACATTAATATTATGGATCTGAGGGTACCTCCAACCCATTCAAAGTGAGTATTGGTTCATCTTTCTATCTCATTAATATATTATCCTAACACATCTACTGCTCAAGTTCACTAACACAGTCAAAACCTAATTTGTACAGCAGCATGAAGTGGAAGAAGATGGAAAATACAGCATTCAGTCACTTTTTCTTCCATATATATATGGGTCATCCTGAAATGTTTTCTTAACGAATCTGATATCGCGTTTCACTACTTAAATACTATCTCCTCATTCAGTAATTTAGGTTTTGTCCATATCAACTTTGGGAATTTGATGTACAGTTAATTTCCTTATGCATAAGTTACTACCCATCGTTTTTACGCTACTAATTTATGAGCAAACTATTAGTAAAAATAAACTTTTGTCTGATAGCTGTTCCTGATTATTTCATTTTATAAGCACGCAAGAATAAAACATAAACTTCAATTGAATCTTTATTTAGTTATCTGTATAACCATTGACTATTTATTCGACATGAAAAATCAAGATTGAACTTTCCCTCTCTATTCTTCTGCAGAGAAATGATTCGTTTTCTCTTCTCAGGTACATGGTCTATATACATTTATTTATAGCTTGATACTTAATCATTAATCTTTGTGTAGTAAAAGTGGACACAACTCGGAAGCTGATATAACTGCTCATTTTAATTGTGAAAAGGTATGCATTTCATGAAAACTTTCAATACGATAAAGTATTCATCCTCCTCTCAGTAACACTTGAGCTCACCTGATGACAACTGGGTAAAACGAAGGACATTATGTAGTTATCATATCATTCTAACTTTATTAGATGCATGATGATATGTAGTTTAATGAAATTATTTAGAGAACTTCTGAAGTTTACAAGCAATCACCTGTGTTCTATGTCATTTCATTAATGCAAACTTATTGAGTTGTATGCTTTTATGTTTAAAATATACATCAGTTACGGACGTAACTGAAGTGACATTTCAGAAGTTGATTTAATGAAAGGTTTTTAAATATTGTAGCATATATTCAATTAAAACTTGTTGTTTATATCGAAGGCAAGATGCTGCTTGGCCAAAACCATAAGTTCAGACAAATTGAGCGATAAAGCACACTACTACATCACGTTTCTGAAATGAGAGATAAAAAGTAATTTGAAACAGCTCTTCATCCTAGCTTCATTCCCCTTATAATAACAAGAAAAGATTAACCTTGAAGAGCCAAACGTTTGACAAAACTTCATGATAATCACACAATTAGTGGTTTTAAATGGCTTAAAAAGCAATTCGTTGAACTCTTTCAGGACTAATTAACTTTAGTGTTATTAAAATTTTAATTTGCTGGTACAGTCCAGAGTATTTGTTTAAGTACAGTGGCCTGTGAGACTGGGTCGTTTACTGTAGAAAAGATATGAGGGGTACAAGTGATCAACATGATTTTCTTTATGCGTTAAGGCTATAACCGACCTGCTTTTCACTATAAGCAGATGATATATATAGAGAGCTTCGATAATTAATTATTTCACAGATTTTAATACTTACAAGCTGGTAAGCACAGAAAGACGATGTTTTATCTGAGTTATTATTTACTTAATTCATTTTACAATTGAATTTCTCACAGTCATTGAATAAGCATCCTATTGTGTTGTTTTTTAAATGTTTTGCATATATTCGTAAGTGCCTTCTTGCAAGATCAGGAAGCAGCTACTTTTTGTTGAACTGGAAGATACAATTTGAATTCTGGGGGTAGTTCGCTTTCTGAATACAAACGATCACAAAAGTAAACTCTGCGTATGCGACAGTTGGCATGAATCTAAAATACAAAAACCGCCACATTTGTATCTTTATAAACATAGAATTTTTAAAGTAAAAAAATTTGACATCAACAATAATTTTATTGCAACCAGATATAGGACCTTTCAATGAGTAATTAAATGTCATCATAATCAACAGTTCAAGACTAAGTGATAAGACTGAAGACTGATGGCTAAAAGTGAACTTAGACTCAGATTTCCTCCATAATATGGAAGCCTCTGTCGTCCAAAATCTTTAATACCATGCGTTTACTGCTTTATTGTTTTCTGTGTTTAGTTAACACCCATTATTTGACTACACTGACACGAAACGTAGCAAGTCTTATACTAATGACATTCATCTGTACAGCCCCATTTAATCTCATCATCATCAATACTAATAATTCATACAACACAACTAACTTGAATGGGATTCCAATTACTTTTCTTCAGAGATGACATATTCTACAGAAGAGATCTAAATCTATATAAAGAAGGACTATTTATAAATAAAAAGTATCGTCATTTAGATTAATTGTCTATTCTATTTTGATAGAGTGATGATTTACCAAGACTTTAATATTTTAACTGTTCAAGAAGTTACGACACCATGAAATACAACCCTTTGAGTTTATTTCCAAACTCATAATAGCCATTGTATAATAACATGTTACTTTTATCATGAATATTCGCAGTATTGATCAATTTTCCAAAAGGCATGATATGACCAGCGTGAACTTAGCCCTTTTATTGTTCGAAGATTCTGAACAACAACTTCTGGAACTAGGGTAATTTTAACCGCAGTAATTTTGTAGTTAACCACTTGGAATTCACTTGTTAACAAATTCAAACAGGCCCTTAGTCGTACGAAGTAAAAAAGGAAATACTATCATCAATTAAATATAACTGCTAATTGATAATATCTTACTATTTTGAACTTCATAATACAAAGATACTTGTTGAAAGAATCTGCCTTCTTTCTATATCCAGGAATAAACCGGCATAAGAGGACGGCAAAAGTAATATAACTGTACTTAAACGTCATCAGCTACCAACTGATGTGTACTGAACCTGTTGATTATGATATGAAGCATAATACATAAGTGTTAGCGGTACGCTTGTGCTGACCCGAGCAAAACTGTGGTATACGTCATTATTTTTTTACAAAGTAAATTTTAAATAGATTAGCTTGACTAGTTAGCAAAAATAACTTAATCAAAAAATAACTCTTATCTATTAGCGTAGGTTCATATTGGGTTTTGTGTAGACCTAATTAAATAGGAGCATTACCTCAAACTGAGTTTACTGAGTCTCTTTAGCTAAATGATAAACTTCCCGTTTGTCAGGTCACTTGATGAAGCTCGGGAGAATTTTTAGATAAGTTACTGGGGATTGTAAGTGGCTAAAGACAATAATTATAATAGCTGCAGGTGACCTTTCCTTTCGCGTCAAAATATGAAACTAAAGTCATCCTACACTGCAAAATGCATAGTATTAGGGATAAAATGAGCAAACTTTTAAATGCTAATACATTATTTTGGGATGTTATATTGGCACTTAACAACGATTATATATCATTTGTATAGATTGATATGTGGAGACTGTAGGATTTACCTAGTTTACATCACGAATCCTTCTTATCTAGGCTGCCACTGTAAACTAGGAAAGATTGTATAAACGTTTTTCCCTATTGTTAGGCTCTTCAGCAGTGTGCAACCAGAACCCCCCATCCATCAATAGACCTCATGACCTGGATGATTTATACTTTGAAGATTTATGTAACAACGAGGAATTGACAACCTTTTCAGATTGTTAAGCATTGATCTGTCATAAATTTTCTTCAGCCATTAACGCATCTCATTTACAAATGATGAGTTTGAATAACCGATATTATTCGTACAATTTCTCGTGATGTGATGCTTAACATTTCTGGATGATGTTAATCATTTGTTTTTTGCAGAAATTATCATGGTAATCCTAGTTAGTTAAAGCTTATTTTTATTTTGATCAAATATACTTCTATAAAAAATGTGTTTCGAAGAGAATTTAAGGATTTTGAGTAAACATTTTGAACTTTGAGCTCAGACTCAGTCACTAAATATAGTCTTGGTACACAACAAAGTAGGCTGGCTGGTTTTTAAGTCTAAACTTCTGCTTTGAACCATGATTGTTCACTTGCCTTCGTAAACACATTATTAGTTGTCAAAAGAAAATACAAGCTACTATCTAAATGCTTTTGATACAGTGTTAAATTTGAGGATGAACAAACGTTTGTTACACATGAATCGTCTATTTTGTCTGAAGGAATTCATCAAGCCTTTAGGTTAGCTTATCATAATATTGTCAGTTTTCAGAGGCATATGCAAAAATCAATAATATTTGCAACCAAGACTACTTTTACAAGGATTTTAGAATAATCGGTCCTCTGAATATTTTTTATGAATGAAAATTCACCAACAAATTTTTCAGTATCCAGATAATCTAGAGTAGAGTAACATTTATCAAGATCTGTAACGGATTACACAAATTTAGATGTGAAACAGTTATCGAGGTAATAATTAGGCTCCCATGTAACTGTCTAATGAGATTTAAATGACCTGATGGTTTGAATTTTCATAAACAACATTGAGATTAACCTATACCACCAATATGTAGCCCAACTGGATTTTTAATATCCAGCTGCATTTTTAAGCTATTGTGTAACTTGATCATATAAAACTGTATCAAGCTTTCTTTAATTAATTATCAATCGTCGTAAAATAACATAAAAAGGTCTTTGTGGCAAAATTAATACTAAGATAGAATTTTAAAAGCGATAATATCATCAAAGATTCATGGCTCATAACTTAGGCTACATCTAAGCTCATATTTTTTGACGTTGAAGACTATGAATCCGAATCTGCATGTCTGGAAACAATAGCTTCACTAATCGCTTTCATGTACTAACTAATAACACTGTTGATAAAATACTCACTTGTACTCTCAGCGTTTCGACGTAATTAGTTCCGTAGGCACGTCTTGTGAAGTCACAAAGATTAAACTGAATTTGGTTCCATCCTTCATCTAAGCGCATGGGCATGGTACAAATAAAAGGTTTTACACGAGTAGTACTCTGATAATTGCTAGCTCGAAATCTCCGTCTAATCTTCTTATCATCTAAAATCTGGAAACATGCGTCAGTATAAAACACACGCTTTACAAACCAAGACTTCAAAAGTAAAATACTTCTTTAGATTCTTAATAATCATCACAAGGAATGGTAGCTTTATGCCTAGGCTTCGCTTGGGTTCAGCTGGACAAGTGATAAATGTGGTACTAAAATCGGTAAACAAATTCGAAAAGCAAGGCACCTAACGTTAGTTCCCATCAGCTCTAACACAAGTGATTGTATATCATTGTCTGTTATTCTTTTTATGTGTCCATTCATTACCTATTATTCCTTCATGAGTTAAAAATTTTGAAACTACGCTTTTGTCCCATATCTGAAGGGGTTTACTGCCAACACTATAAAGTATTGAAAGAAATCCACTTTGAAATGTATTCCTGAACATTTTTACTCTGGTGACAAGTTTTACGAACACCCTCTGAACAGATCGCTTATGACAACGAGTGAATTTACTTGTTTAAACAAAATACAGCTAATGTTTGTAGATGAAATAACATTATCGAACAAGTTTCCTCTGGATTTAGTAATAAGGCGAAGGATGAGTCACCGTTTATATGTTGAAAAAATAAAATTGTACAGACCAGTTCAGCAGATAGCTAAAGATAAGATTATCGTTATTAAGGGTTGTGGAGATTATTTAGTTTTTGATTGAGATCATGAATCAATTTTTGACCACCAATGAGGACTTGGAAATACTGGAGGGCCGTTTTTTCCTGGCATGGGATTCCTCAGCGGTACTCATCACGTGCGGGTTCGTGAATGCACACCTCTGAGAAATCCCATACCAGGACTAAACGGTTGTCCAGTACTTCTAGGTTTTCAATTTCGGTCTAACATTGAATAATTGATGATCTCAATCACAAATATAAGATTATTTTTAGACTTGGTCATTTATCTCATGTGTATATATTTTATTCCGATGATGTTGGAACGCACTTCAACTTTACCGATTATGACTTTTAGGTCCCTTATCTCCCATCTCATACTATTCAGGACCGATAGCATTGAAGCCTAGTTCCGCGACACAGGAGTTGACTTCCACATGGCGTAACATACCGACGTGCGCAGTTCCTCTCAGTGATGAAGCCAACAACAAGCAACCTCAATACCTTGCACGCTTACTAGCGATATTTCTGAAACTCATGACATTTTGAAAAGGCTCGTCCTTTAACTTGGAGATCCAACGGAACAATAAGACTTAGAGTAACCACTCCACAAAATAAAACTGCCATACGGCTCATCTATAGAAATGTCGTCAGGTATGATGGAAATCATAAGTCAGCAAACATTTGATGTAGGCTTCTTCAGACCACTCATCTTATCTAAGCCTCCCCAAAGTCTTACAGACTGTTCCCAATCCATGTCAAAATAACTCTGGACGAACTGGATCCATTTACCAAAAACATTCTGGAGGTCTCCAGAGCATTAAGTTCTTTTCCGTCAGAATAAAGCTTCTATCAGCATATAACGAAGTTACAGAATTCTGTGATACTGTCAATTGTTTTCTTACCATTCATCGTGATTACATTGTAGCTGTAAATAATTCCCCAAAATCAATAGCTTTCTAAGTGTTCGACATTAAATGCTGACCACGTTGTTTAAGTGGACTTGTTTAACTGAAGGCTTTCGGTCATGCATCCGTACCAGATCACGTTGCAACTCGGTGTGGGCCACAGCTCCTACGTTTCAATAGTCAGCTAAGAACGAACGCCTCTCGATATATTGGTAACATATCAAATATATCTTTCCTACCTCTTCTCGTCTGACTTTAGATTTCCTTTGGCCGGGAACGATCGAATATAGAAGGTACTACTGGTTGCTAGTTGTTAAACTAGAATACTAGTCGTATCCTCAACATACAGTCCCAAAACTCTGAAGTGGGCATATCACATATGTTCCTGGACCACGAGAAACGGATAAATCTAACGAGCGTTGGTACTGTAACAGCTGTAGTAAGCCTTCCAGAAAATTCCAGGAAATCCTCAAGTTTCCCCAATTCCAAACTTTCCGCCACAACGAACCTTTCGAGAGATCCCCTAACCCGCATATGTTGATGACAACTGTAATTAGTCTATATTTCCTCTTGTTATGCATCACTGAAGTGATAAAAAAATTTTGCTGTCATGAGCACTGGAACAGAAGGCGGAGTCCTACCTGCGGATGCTAACCATCGTCTAGGAGATGCGGTCTTCAGTGAACAATCAACAAACGGCTAACCCGTCGCTATTTACGATAACATATACATTTACATTAACTTTGGTTTACCCGATTCCATCCACCTGCCTTTGTTACCACAGACATATCAACAAAAATCATTGGTATATACTTGTTACAACACAGTTACTTGTTTGTTGACTCGAGCAAATGTAGCTTGGTGGACGGAAATACTGAATAATCTGCTAATGAAGTCTCATTTTCTGGTTATAGGTTGGGCTAAGTTCGAATTTAACACATGATGGGGCCACACTTCCAACGGTACCAGATAAGCATTCTGATCTATACAAACATCGTGAAACTACCGTGTGTAACCAGCAACATTACACTGACTGTCAAACGGTCAGTGAGCGTGCACTTTACATGTTGCACTTGAAGAGGACAACGTCTCACTAGCGATTACAGAAGATTTAATACGAAAGGCACGCATGATCGTCACTAATTGGCACACATCCACTACCTGCCAGCTACCTTAAAACGTACGATTGTCCTTATGAAAATCAACTTTCTTAAAGCGTACAACAAGTTTATATGGCTAAGGATGACATTCCTAAGACAGACATTACCATTCTGTTTGGACTTTACGATTTGAAAACTGGTGCACGAACTTTTCGGAGATTCAAAAATAAGGTATTAGGAATTCTTGATATAGTGTATACGTATGTTGATAACTGTCTGATTTCATGGTTGAATAGAGGATCCGATCTCCAGCATATTGAGTTCGTTTTTCAATGACCACTGAAACATGCCGTCACGTTAAACATTCAAACATATAAACTTTGAGTCAACTACTTCTATTTTTTAGAACATATTATTGACGTTTTGAGTATTCAACCTCTCAAAAATAAGATGAGGGTCATTCTGATTAACCCAAAAGTGAAAACACAAACACTTACGCACGATCAACAGACTGAAAAAGATTGACTAACGTTAGAAATGAAATCGCGCGTATCTCATGAAAGCATTAACAGGTCAGCTTCACAGAATTCACTCTGTTTACCGACAATGAGATTAACAGCTTTTCTCAAGGCTCGTCTTCAAACACGTATATTCAGCGAGAGTCCTAACAACTGTTCTACATCAAGCTACAAATTACCGATATACCACACATTTCTAGAGCAAACAGTGTGGTTGCAGACGACTGGTCTCGTACACCTTCTTTGAACAGTTTCCAAGACACCAACTTTCTCAAACTCACTCAGCTTCACAAAAAGACTCTGGTTTTCATCACGAGTTGTTTTCGATAACCTTGAAGCTACTGATCAAACAGGTGAGAACAGGTAGGAAGACTTCATGTCTTCCCACATCTACAGGTAGGGATCGTACAATAGCACCGAAACATTTTCGACCTAATGTCTTCAATACATAACACAAGCTTTCGCATCCATGTGTTCGAAAAACCACTAAGCTTACAGCAGAATGCTTTCACTGGCCTTGTAGGAATGAAGAAGTGAGGGGGTGCATATTCTCCTGTTGAAGCTGTCGGAAATCAACGTTCATCAGACATAAAAAATGTCTCCTTGGCTCTTCCGCATCTCCTGACTCTCATTTCAACTTTGTTCATCACCATTCGGTAGAACTCATACCAGACTCAAACGGGTGCTCTTATCTCTTAAAGTATGTGTACCGTTTCACCCGATGACTGAAAGCATCTGAAACAGAGATCCATGTTTTTGTTGAACATTGTGTAACAAACGTCGTCTGCACTTCGACTATTACCTCGGACCGTGGACGCCAATTTGGATCTAGACTTTTCCGTTGTTTTGCTACGCTACTACGAACCACACAAATCCAAACAACTTCCTGCCACCTACAAGCCAACGATTTTGTGGAACGATTTCGTAGGTGGTTGAAGGCTTGGCGTTCAACTGAAAATGCATCACAATGGACTGGCGCTCTTCTGCTCGTGTTACTCGGCGTTCGCAATCTAGTGAAAGCTGACATCCGACGTTCTACAGCTAGACTCCTTTGCAGCACGATGCTTCAACTAAAAGGATAATACCTAGGCCCACCCCCATCTACTTCAATGAATGTAGATTAAAACTTCACGACGGTCAGGCATGCAAACTCGAAGCGTTCGGTTGACCTCACTTCCACCTGCCCACAATCAACTGACTTTTCATTACAATCTGCTTTATGACTTAGTACATATGTTTTCGTACATCGCGACCAATTACACCGACCACTCAAAGCTACATAATCTTACTTGTCTCTTATAACCTTCACCATTAGTTATCTTCATAGTATTACGATATATGAAATGAATATCTAACCCCTAATACAAATGCTATTACCATCTGATTCGCTTGTAACATGGAACTTGTAGAGACAGTGTATTCCAACTATGGTCTTTGATTAAAGCAATATTCATACTGACCACAAACGTAAGAGAGCCTAACATCATAAAAGGAGGGAGGGTGGCGTTACTGACCAGCAAACATGATGGTGAGGAGATAACTTCAATCCATCCTTGTCTGTGGGACAGAACATATTAATTACGGCTCCTTATGTCTAGTGGGATGTCACGAACCAACGGTATTGATGTGAAATTATTCATGAAAAATACCACTTTAGATCATGTTAAAAAAAGCTAAATTGGTTCCACTTCCCACCGAGTAATCCTATTACAAGTAAACTAGACAATTGGCTAAAAACGAAGCCCACTCTATACCCTATAAAATCTAAAAACAAAAAAGATAGTTCAAACAGCTTCGAAAAAAAGGGAGACAGCCATTTGTATCGGAATACTGTTTTCAGCACTTTATTTTATAATTACACAATTCCATACTTTCTTTTGAACTACCTTCATTTATACAGTTTCTTACCCACTCATACCTTGCCCACACTTATTTTTCTTTAACACATTAGTATGTTCTTACCTAATAAATACTTCAGTAACAGACAAATAGACTAAATGGTTATACATTAACTATTCCTCCATGAATATTGTGTGCTCTGCTTTTCGTCCTTCCTTTTTCTTACACCTTTTTCGGCCTCCTGCAGATACTCCACCGAAAACAGATATGGCACGGGTGACTTCGTCCTACACCGTTATTAAAGCCTCAGATATTCCGAAGGGATATAAGTTCGAAACTTCTAAAAGCCCACAACTTTGCATGTATCTATTCTCGACCATCAGTTGTATGTTGCAACGCTACCTCCATAAAGTGCGCCAAGTGTGATATTGATATGTTTCTTACGAAATCTATTTACATTCATATCTTATGAAATATCAACCCAGCTGAGTAATTTTCACCAGTGAAAATTGTAACATCTTTAACAATTTGATCTTGCCTGTAAACCGGCATGCCTCATGTAACAATCTGTTATTTGAGAATAAATTATTATTATTATTATTACATATGAAGGAACCCACGAAGTTCTTTTTCAAGAACCTACGTACCACACGAGTGACAAAAACGAAACTTGTGACCATATTGTCATTGACCAGCTAAAATCCGTCAACTTAGAAAGCAACTACTTTTATGTTGACTTTGACACAAAATAATCGGATGGGTCAATCCTCAGGATCAAAATCCGGTTCCGAAAGCTAACGATCACGATGAAACTTTGCCGGTATTAGATAACTGACCTAAAATGTCGCACTCTGTAGGAACCATGAGGTTTCCGAAACGCTCATGCTCACACATGTATTTTTTTTGAAAGGTGAATCAATTTTTCATACCCTTATATATGTGTATAGTTTCTTTTTTCTAAGAGTAATCAATAAAACTTTTCACTGTCGTATGGCATGTATACGCGTGTACACAGAGTCCCTTTTCGCAGGCTTTGGTTGCTGAAAGAAATACGAGTGAAGTTCGACATGTACTTACCTTTCCATTCCTTTCTTTTTCGGGACCACTGGAAAAGACTGAAGGCCGAAGACGAACATGAAGAATCGAACCTTTCATTGTGCATTTTTAATCACCATTATGTACCGATTATCTCCTTAGAGTAGCAAATAGCAACTATACACCACCGGGTATAGCAAGCTAACAGAACAGTGTTTGTTAGTGGCAAGCCTGTTGGGTCTGGACATCTGACTGGCCACATCTTAGGGTCATCACTACTCCACGAGGGAGAGTGTGCTGTAGCCTTAAATAAACCTCCAAAATAAATGGTTCCGTGAGTCTTCGACATTGGTGTTAACCTAATTGGCTTTACTGTGGACACCTCAACTGTAGGAGCTCGATAATACATCTGAACCTGGCCAAAGTTAGTTATGCCATGCTACTCAACTAGCCAGCTTCGATTATATACTTCTCGACATACCGACTACCTTACAATTATTTCTTCGAACTTTTTCATTCCGGTTTTCTATTTCTATTATCTTTCAGATATTTTGTCATGGAGTTGTAACAGACAAAAGCTTTGTCTGAATATGATTGACATCTTTAAACCAAGCATGATCCTTGTTTTCGTGAAAGCATAGACAGCAGCTTAATGAAAAACTGAAGAGCAGTATAAAAATGCTTATTAAATATTTATCTTTTAGAAAACAATATTACAGGGACATATGAGCATTTCGCCATGGTAAATGCTTTAAGTATAGCAAAACTGGACTCTTGAAATTCGCATAAAATCCTGTTGTTTACCTCACTACCAGTAAAGATCAATGTTGCGATTCTCAAGTTAGAGGGAAACCCAACTAACGATCACATATTATTTTTATTTAAAACTTCATGTAACTCACTTCACAAATATAACTTATCTCATTTAGGGATCATTTTTTTCAGTACTGAAATGTTTTGCCTCATTCAAAAAGAAGGATAACGAAACAGCTAGAAGGGTGAATTTTCATCCGGAAACGGACAATTCGAAGTCCACCGATGCTATATATGATCAAGAAAACAATCTTCGATAGACTACGAGACGTCAAATGAAGAATGTTGACAACTACTGACCACTGGTAATCTACTGAAGAGCATGAACGTCAAAGATGTTTTAAAAAACCTAAGACTCCAAGATCTTTCTTTTCCTCAGATTGAGCGTTGATCAGAGAAAGCTTGAGAATCAGTGAGTTTTTAGATCTTGGTTGTTGTTCATATATGAGTATTTCATTTAGTGAATAGGAGGTCACCATCCTTACAGGTAGTCAAGGTGAACTAAAAGATAATCTTACAAGACCAAGAGAATACAACGGTTTCAATAATAAACGAGCGAACGTATGACTCTCGACATAATTCTGGTGTGTCAACTTTGGTTAACGAAAAGACAAATAAAAACCAGCATATGTGATAAGGCCCAGTTCCAGTTTAAAATCATAATTAAATGTATTTTCAACCCCAAAACAATCATCATTCACAGGCTTTATGTTGGCATGTCAAATCTAAGCCACATCACTATGACAATAATATGCAAAGTGGTTAGCGAAACTATAATTCAAGCCACTGATGATAAATAAATCTGAATTTATGAGTCATAACAATTATCACCTATCGATTAGCATCTTTGCTTCCTTGATAAAAGCACGAAATGTTGGTCCGTTATCACTTGTTCACCTATTAAAATATGTTTTGAATAGCTCAGGTGAGTTATAGTACGTAAAAAGACTACAGTATTCGTCGAAGATCCACTTTACATCGGTCGATGGGACTATTACTCTCAGATATCAAGTACAAGAGGTGGCTCTAACAAGGATTACGACCTAATAAGTCACTCAGCTTTTCCCATCAAAGAAGTCGTTCCTGAAAGTCATGTCAGAGATCGACCAAATAACTCTGGAGAAAATATTGGCCAAATATATAACTCCCAGAAAAAATCTCGAATTTCTTGCACGATGAATAATTTTTGGCTGTAATCCCTCTAAGCTATCGTGAACATAAGTTCTTTTGTAGTCGACTGTAAGAGACGCCAAGACTCCACCCTTTTAGCCCCAACGATGTGCAAATGAATAAGACAGGCAACATTCCGCCTATAGATTTGACTCGTTCTAAATTATGGCTATTTCACAGTCCAATATCGATGCTTTATTCTACTTACTAATCACTTATAAACTTTGTTTCTAACTCCTTTTCCTACTTAACATTCCAAATCTCCAAATAAACCCACTGCTAGTGTAAGCAGCAGAATAACTTTGAGGTGATATGATGAAAGTTCTGCTACTCTAGGGAAGACAGTCATCCACATTTAGTCAATAAATGGTCGACAAATTTACCAAAGACATTGCAACTCCACTGATACGATGACCTCAGGGAATTTTATTGCCCATTTGTAACCTGTATCTACCATCAAGATATGAGCCTGAACGAATCAAACGACTTATCACAATTCTTTGGCCCTTTTAGTACTGGTAAGTAAAGGATAGATGACTCTTCGACTGGGAAAAAGTTACAGTTACACTCACATGAGGAGAAAGAGTAGCTCGAAAGCTCCAGATTGCAGACCGATTTCCACTATGTTAGCAGCGGGCATGGAAAAAATGGTCAATAAATGCCTCTGAAACTGTCTACTCATTAAATCTATGCTATCCGATTTACAGCATAATCTACCAGAATAATCATTTTGTACTACCTGGAAGAGCTGGAACAAACGCCTCCTAAATTTCTCCAAGCCTTCGATGGGCTTCATTGTTAATTAAAATTGAAATTAGTGGACATTAGTAGAAGTTGCTTCTGGATTATTGTAAGATTTGGCTTCTCTCAATCTTTTTAGGTTTTCAGTGATCAGTGGGCTCTAAAGGCTCAATCCCAGAAAATACTCCTAATCTTCCCACTTATTGACACTGATTTGTATTCTAGATTCCTAGCTGTCATTATGCTCAAATGACCTGAAGATTAAAAATCTAGGTTTAGTGATATTCAGCTGCTTCAAGAAGACTCAATGAGTGAAAATACAGAATGATAATAGTGAACAAATATGATACTCTACCCATCTCATACTTTCTCGAGCGATATGATCATCGTATTTCCTACCACAGAAGCGGACATTAACAGCACTTTATGTGAACCTATGGACGTCTCTTCTAACTGACTCACCACAGCTAAAAAAACATTGGGCAGCCTGACTGGGAATATTTTTCACTACCTGATAAAGACCTCATCTAGAGAAAAGCTCTTAGTTTATTCCTTAACACTTTATTGAATTCGTCAATACATTGAAAGGAGCTCAAAAAGACAGCAATAGGGGTACTCGGTCTGAAAAACAAACAGCATCCAGCTCAGTTAGAAGCACCAAATTTGTTACAAGTGCATTACTAGTGCTTGACTAACATGGTTTCTTCAGTATTTTCAACCGACATGACTTAGTTACTTGTAAGCTGACGACTATCAGCCTTAAAGTGATTACTAGTGCGTCCAGATACACTTTACTACCTATAATCATCTTCCCATAAAAAATTGACAAGTCAATTCCTATACTTAACTACACTTAGGAGGACACCAATTTCAGGTTGAGCACAAATAAACTTTCATGAATTTCGATGTAAAATATTTCTTAGTTAGACTCATTAAACTGTTGAACTTTCCACCAAGGCGGATAATAACAAAACCTCCCAGAGTCTTTTAAAATAAGACTACATATTTACTTGAATTAAATAGGCAATGAGGGGAACTACTAACGGTGTTACAATTCAGATATATCTACTATTATTCACTGATATTTATGTCTTTTATCTCTTTATTTAGAGCATTACTAGTTTAAAAATCTATCCTACCACCCAGACGATAACTATGAGAAACAAATATTTCCCTAATCCTATATACAATCCTTGAGGTTTGACAGTATTGGATACTGTAGTTGGCGTTTATTAAGAGTATGTACGTTACTTAGGTCATAAAGGTTAGTCGTCTTACTAATTAAAGTCTGTCTGTTTTCTATAAAAGAGCACCATAATTGGAAATAACGACAAACTAAATTTTATACATTTTTATGTGCATCGGTGATGTTCTCATACATGCAAACTACTTATAGGTCGTATTTCGAAGTGAAAGACCTTTTCTTCGGATGTAGAAAATGTACATTATCTTTCGATCCGTTCAAAATAGGTATGATTTTGCAATGAACCCACAATCTTCCATAAAAATAACAATATATTTTTGCGTTTCCCATAATTTCATCGAAGTTTCTTGTTCGGATATACTAATGACGTGCATTATGTTCACTTATTTTAAAGGTAGAACAGACCCAAGTTTAGTGTGATATGTTAGTGGTTGCGAAATAATTAGCAGTAATTGTGGTATAACGCTGGAAGTACGTACCATTGTTAGCATATTAACTGTTACTTTGTCAAGTGGATATTTTAATTGGGATCGTCAGGAGTGATTAATTTGCTGAGTGTGTAGGTGTTGCCTGATAGGTTACTTTGCGTCTTTGAGCATGACAAAATGGCTCCAGAACAGTGGCTACTCTGCATATGGGATCTTCCCTTTGAATTACGATAGTAGTATATCAGGCGAGACTATAATTTATGGACGAACAAGTCAGATATATGATAACCGGTCTCGGATTTTGGCGCGAAATTCACTCACCTATTTGTTTAAATAGCGTTTTAGAATTTTAACTGGTGTCAGTTCGTGATGAAAACCCTAAATCCAACGCTTAACTCTAACCATAAATCATAATCCATATTCTTCACACCACTTTATAACCTTCATTTAGCCTCTGTTAGTAGGTGGATACTTAAAGTCATTGTAGCGTCGATCAAAGTTCGTTCATAAATTATAGTGTCACTGTATGTCAGTATTAGTTCCGTGGACACTGTTTTGTTTTTCAGCCCATATTCTATGTTTTCAGTCTTTTATTATCACACTAAAGAAAGCAATATAGAATATTTGTACCCCAAAACATAGGTGCTTTACTGAGATGGTTTCTTCAGTGTTTTCATCCTACATGACTTAGTTATCTGTAAACTGACGACTATCAGCCTTAAAGTGGTAAATACATGTCCTGATATCTGCTAATTTGAGATATGTTAGTGGTCGTATACCTGAAAATAAAGTTCACGCATGACATTATCTTTAAAGCCCAATTGACAAGTGATTTCTACCTGTTGACCTGTAATGTAGCAATCTTATTTTCCACTATTTGACATTCATTTTCATTATCGTACCAGAGAACGGTTTCATTCATCATGTTAGACAGTAATTCTGGGACTGCACTTGTCATATGCTGTTATCCCGTGAGTAGGTTACGTAGGAAACACTCTGATTTCTTTTAAATACTAACGTTTAGAAGTTTCATTTTCATCAAGTTTATGAAGCCATATTTTCTTAATATATGTGAGCAGTTGATTCCGGTGAACGACTACTTCCAGATGTATTTACAATCTTACCTGAGAAAAGTTGATTTCCCGTTTATGTTTGTCCCAATATGTGTGCTGCGATCTTACGTGTCACATTTTACTGAAACATTTACGATCCAAAATCAAGTGTAATTGCCGCTTAAACATACATTTTTATTCTTATCTCTGTAAATAGCAGTGAAAGTCTAATTTTCGTTTCTTTGTCTATATGATGCGATCTCAGTTATGGAAGAGGCCAGAGCTGTCCTTAAGAAAAAAGATGCCATTCTTGAACACCCGTCTATGCTTGCGGAAGCAATTGATTGGTAGCTCTGAAACTCTTTATAATCCAATGGATTTTTAGCATCCGATATAATAATCCACAAACTGGACATAACGAGGCAGAGGAACTTTTAGTGGAGAGCTATCAGGGTGCAATCGAGTTTCTGTTCGAACTGGGGACTTGGCTCACCTACATTGGTAAGACATTTTCAGAATACTTTGCATTGATTCAATTAGATGAAGATGCTCAGTCTACTCGTAACATAATTGAATCAGTTGTCAAGGAAGCTATTCTTCAAAACTATGACCGTTCCAAAGCCATAACATGTTTAACAGATGAAGCTTCAGCCGTTAGTTTTCTTGGTCATTACCTAACGTTTCGAAATTCAGGACACCATGGAGTGGCTTAGTCAAATGGTCGAATCTCCAACTTGGCGTCAAACCATTTACAACCTAGCTCAGCATCCACGGAATGAAGATTGTCCTTTTTTGTCACTATCTATGCCGTGTATAGCTGTAAAGGAAAGTCTCATTGGAGAACTCGTATCTGTTCCTCTTGCATGGAACACTCTAGGTATTTTCTTAAAGTGCGTTATCTATGTTTTACAACCATTGCTGGCTGCCGGTGATACAGTTAAAAACCAGACATTTATGTACTCCGTTGCATTTTTACAGCCGAAACGGAATAATGCTTCATGTGCAAATTATTCTAGTGTTTCACATTCAGAACTGAGCTTGATTAATTCGGAATCCCTTCCACCTATTGATGACGTTAAGGGTTTTGTTTCTGCTGTTGATAACGAAAATCAGCCATACTCATCTGAAGGAGAGTCTCACTTTTCTTTTGATACTGCACAAGATATGTTAACCCACTTTTTGGTAAGTTAATAAACATTCCAGTCTTTTTGTAATCAGAGCATTGTCTTATTTGTAAGGACGTCCACTTTTTAACCATTAGGCTAATAAAATAGTACAATTATCCCTTTTATATACCAGGTAGTATATTAATAAAGTAACGGTATTAATTTTAATCTCATAGTACCGAAGTGATATGTTACGGCTTGAAGCACTTTACTTTGGGGCTAGATGCCATTCTACTACTGTCTCTTTGTCTGTTTTAACCATGAATGTGTCGAGTTCGTTTTCTCTTTTTTACTAAATGACAAAAATGAGATCTTTACTTCATAGACGATCAACATTGTTAATCATTTTTGGCAAATCAGCGGTACATTTTCACTAAATGTGACTAACGTTTTAATTTCATTTTTCTAATAGAGTATAGTGTTATGAATTTAAAAAGAAGGGTCTCTAATTTGTTGTAATTTTATGTCCGGCTTTTTATCACGTGAATTATCCACCAATCGAAATACGACTTTTCCGATCTTAACACTGTACCAAATCAATGACGTCCAACTGGTATGAGCAGTCTAGCGTCCTTATTGGTCCCTTGTCCGCCTAGCCCTTCCAATTGAGTCCAGAACAACAATTGCAGCTTCTTCTATGCGAATCATTTATTCCAAGCATACTTGGTTTATATACCAGATAGACAGATCGCATGACACCATAAAATAGGGAATAATATTTGTACAAAATCAAGCTAAATGTGGCTGTGAACTTCGGAGACAGTAATCGATAAACTGAATATAATTTAGGAACAGTAAATCCTATAATAATAATCCATAGGTCAAAATGAAGCTTATAATAACATGAATATAGATATACACAACCTAATTACTCAATAGTCAATAAGAATATATATAGCATAATAATTGGTCCCGGAAGTTACCTGTACTTACATCTGCACTCGGATATAACATATAGGGCTTAATATTCGGAGGCATATAACATGCTTTCGACCGTCGCACCACAAGCCCTAAGATAATTTCAAGGATAGATCATGCAAATACCAGTAAGAATACTTTAGACAATGGAATGAGGATTAAGCTCTTCAAATCATAATTTTTGAGCAACGGTATAAATGTTATTGCGATAAGGATGGGGAACTTAGTCCAACCGAGTTTCTGCCATAGTTACAGGTGTTTTTTGAGCTTATCTACCAAACCCAGATTTTCAGTCTGATAATGTGATATAAATATTTATCAGAGGGGGTTTTGTGGAGATTTAGTATTTTTCATAACACCGTTGGATGCCAGCTCAGTGGTCTATCGGTTAAGGGCTTCGGCTCGAAGCTGGTAGGTCCTGGGTTCGAATCTCGCGCGAGCGGGTTCGTGGATGCGCACTGCTGAGGAGTCCCATAATAGGACGAAACGGCCGTCCAGTGTTTCCAGGTTTTCCATGGTGGTCTAGCTTCAATTGACTCATGCTTTAAAACTATGAAAAATATAAATATTTATCGATACTTTCCATTAACCATATTCCCCAACCTATAGTCTATATCGTACTCTGTTAATTAAGAGGTTTTTTCAGGAAAAGCTCTAAATAATAAAGTAATCCATCTGATAAGTCGAGATTTTTCTAAAAAATATCTCGAGTAATCATCTTTCCAAAACGCGTAGTGCTTGTCAATGATGTAAGTCAGAAAAATGCTTTGAGTTGACGCAATAACAACACCTAAAATTTACCAGCTATTGACTGAAGTCGCGTTTAAAGGTGTAAGTTTTCTTGGTTGAAATATTTGGGGACTCAGATGTATTTACATATTATTTTATTTACACGCCTTATATATGTATACTCTACTCATATCTTTTGGGTTTTTCACAATAAAAATAATAGTTCACTCGTAATATTCCAATGAGCAGGAAATACGTTTCGTGACTCAGCGTAAGCCACTTCTTCACAGAATGAATAAATGAGCAAATTAAACTAAATCGAGTTTAAGATATTACAAAGAAACAAAGCAAAAATATTTAGCACAATCAAAATGTAGATCTGATTAAGCCAATGTCATGCCACTCCAGCCACGGTAATCTTGTTTGGTCAGTTTGTATATTTGACAGCGGTCATCAAAAACGTCCCTACATATCTATTACCTAAATATTTGATCAGTATATTGAAGCCACTTCAACACCATCTACATAGCGCAATTAAACATTCTTATCGAAATATTTATAAGAATTTATTATGGAAAGAATGAAGGCATGATCAGCTGTGACTTTGTGTCCTTATGCACTAGTATTTCAATTGATAAATGATTGGAGTGTATTATTAGTTTATAAGAAAGTTATCACGCTATCTTACAAATGTCCCTCAATCATTAGTTTAATCATGAAATCTCTAAAACTATGCCTGAGTTCAACGTTCAATAAAATACTCCACAAACAAACAAACGTAGCGGCTATGGGATACCCGTACCTGTTATTGCATTGAACCTATTCATATCCCATATAGAATAATTAAAAATGTTCTTAAGGTATTTTTAAAACTTGTTAGTACACTCTCACCTCACTAAATTTGCCTTCGAAAGTGAAAATGAAAACGATAAGCTGTCATTTCTAGGTTGTTCAGTTAATAGAAATCTAAATCTAACCATCTATCGTAAACCAGCACACTCCAATCATTATATTGACTTCAATTAAGCACATCAGTTCAGCGCAGAAATCTATCTGTTCATAAATCTCTAGAAGATCTACCAAGTTTATTACTTCTAAAGGGGATAAACAGAAAGAACAGAAGCACATAATTAACCTCTTACGATTTAATTATTTCCCTACAAATATTAATAAAAATGTACTAAAACAGAACGATTTATCATTAAATAATGGTTCAAATGAAATCTTCTGATTTAGTACAACAACTTCACCTCACCACCATGGTACAACAAAAAATCTTTAAAGAATCGTAAAACCACACAGAATTAAAGCATACTACGAAACAACTATAGTCCTTCTAAATGTTCCAATTCGTGAAAATGATAAGATTTCCTTTACGTCAACACAGAATTGTACATACAAACTAGGGTTTTTCTGTATTGGAGAGTTATCTCGTAAAATAACTCAAGTCGAAAAAAATCTAAGATACACAAAGAACTTAATAATCCTGAAAAATCTACAAAACTTCAAATTAAACCGGTAATCGCAGTGCATGCCATGTTCAATAACTTTTAAGTCAATATTAAACATATCAAGCTTATACAAAAAGCTTTTCGAATACAAAGGTAAGTAGCTGAAGCTCTTTATATATTGCTAAATCCAACTGCCTTCAATAGAAAAAGTTTTGTCATCCATCCATCAGACCTGGATCATCGATAAAAGCTACTTTATTTGATTCTATTCACATCTCACACCATTATCACACATACAAATCCAACTCTACCTTTTCACATAGCAAATAGATTTTGCACACACATTAACATACACGCAAATACGCAAGTGTTTCTCACAAAATCGTCTTGACCAGAGTGACATAACGTTGGCTTAATCAGATCTGCTCTTTGCTTTGTTTCTCTGTAATAACGTGGACTCGTTTTAATTTAGTTTGTTCATTTATTCATTCTGTGAAGAAGTAGCTCACTCTGAGTCACGAAACGCTGGAAATTTTGTTTTCTACTTAGTTTGGTATTACGAATATACTGCCACTTTTATTGTCAAAAGTCTATCGAATGCTCAATTTATTTAAAAGTATCAGGTAAAACCTTGGTAAGGATCCAATGTTATCCAATGTTCCTTTTCTTGGTATTCCTTTCCTGTGTCACAACGGAACTCGACAACGTAACCCAATATATTCTTGTTCGTCTCTTGCTCATCAAAAGCTAATTCACCGCAATTGTTTTGAGATTTAGTAAAGTATCCTATACTATATGATAGCCATGTTAAATATTAGGTATTATATAGGATTACTCTCAGTGCACAATTTTTAGCGTTTTTAATAAGTAAATAAAATAGGACTGGGTGGTGAGTTCCCGTGTACTTCCTAATAATGTGAGATAACAACTTTTATTAGTACTAAGGGTTTCACTTGTTTCTTTAACATCTGTTATTTTGCAAACATTCTTACCGTTAAAATATGCTTGCAAGTCAGAGGTAGTCAAAAAAATGGTAGGGGTGTAATACGTTATTAAAGTCTGTCACTATTCTAGAATGGTGTCAAAGCACTTTTTCAGGGTCCTAATATGTATTATATTTTTCACATGAAACAAAATATCTCTGTTATCTTTATATATTACGACAGTCCTTTCTAGTCTGTTTCCTTTTTCATATAGTTACAATTACTGCCTGTTAGTACTGTTGCGTCTAAATAGACTTTTTTCTTGTTCAGTGGAATTACTGTGAAGTTTGAGTTGAAATATTTGTTAACTTCATGAATATTTCTGCTTTTATTAGGAAATGGGTTGTCATAGTGAACATGGATATTTACTCTTGCAGTCTATCTTGCAGTGTTTGGCTCGAAAGATGAAGAGCCATTGTGCTCATCATCTTATTTGGCTTTTAGAAGCTGAAGCAAGTCGAAGGTTCTGATAAGTTCGATCCTGTTTTCTATTTAAGTTACAGTTTTTTTATGTGTTAAACTTTGAACAGTTTATCATTAATTAATAGATGATGACAGGTTTTTGTACTAGGGTTTTAGAGTTAACCTATGCTAATAATAGTAGGTAAATTTTCTCTATATAGATCCGCGATTGTTGGGAAGAAAATTGCCTTTACTTTTGAGATGCAAAAATGCACTCTTGCGTTCATGGAATTTTTACTCTATTTTGGCACTAAAGTGAATTTTCTTATTGAGTTACTTTATCTTTTCTTACTGGAGAGGCTTCTATAAAATATTCGAATTTCGATAAATTACTATTCGAAATAAATGAAAATTCTAAAACATTGATAATTTGACAGTTATTTGCAGGAATAATAAAGTACAGGGGTTGTTTATGACCGCTGAAATATATATATATAATGCTGTTTCCCCAGTTTTCCAGCGTTTCTCTAGCTTCAGTTTCACCTTGGCAACCACAAGCTAGTGATGATCTAAAGTTATGTTAGCTCCTCTCCCGATTCTCACGTCTTCCATTGCCCTTCTGAATTTTTCAGTAATAGAAATATGATCTATCCGATTTGGTGTTATGTGGTCCGGTGAGATCCATGTGGCTTTGTGTATGTGTTTGTGTGGAAATATTGTGCCGCCTATAACCAACTTGTTGAGTGCACATAGATTTGTAAATCTCTCGCCGTTCCCGTTCCTTTCTCACAGTTCATGTCGTCCATTATATTTTTATACCCGGTGTTGTCCATTCCGACTTTGGCGTTTAGGTCTCCCATCAGGACTATGAGATCCATTCTTGGGCATTTCTCTATGATTGATTTCAGTCACTCATAGAACTTTTCTTAATTGTCTTCGTTGCTATCATTTGTGGGTGACTAACTCTGGACAACATTCATTTTGATTCCCTCCTACTTTGTTTTGAAGGATGCCTTGATTATTCTAGATCCATGGGATTTTCATCCTATAAATGCCTTACGTGCTCATTCGGAGAGCATTAGAGCAACTCGCTGAGTGTGTGAATCACTTTCTTCTTCGTGAGCAGACTACAACATCATCTCTTCTGAATTTATTCTTTTTCGTCCAGATTGTGTCCAATGGATTTCACTGATTCCGAGAACCATCATGTTGTATCTTCTCATTTCCGTGGCTATTTGACTGGTCTTCCACATTGTCCAAACATTCCATGTACTTATAAAAAGTGTTTCTGTGTTTGTTAGAAGGAGCATCGTCCTCGTGACTCTCGAAAAATCTCGGGTTTCATCATGAGGCGTCATAATTTAAAGGGCTTAAATTGTTCATTCTGGCTAACGGTTTTTAGCAAAGTTGTTTTCTACCCAACGTTTCCCCATTGTATGGGCTTGGGACCGCCAGTATCCCTAGAAGAGCTATGGGGGAGTTGTACTAAGTGTACGTATTCAATATTTTTTCTTAATTTATACCCAGATCTGTGCTAAGCAATTGTTCCGGATTTATTATCTTTTGGAATATCTTGTAGTGTTTGTCGCCATTCATATGTCGATCTGGGCTGTCTTTGACACTTACGCTAAGTTCGTATGGTCAGAAATGAACAGAGGTACAACTACTGTAAAAACACATCTACTATATGCTTTTAAAACCTAGTATCTCTGGATTTAAAATACTCACTGGCTCTCTGTTTAATTTAAGCTTTCGCCAAGGAATTTATTTATTTTGATAGCTTCTTTGTTTAGGTAATATCTAACAACATGCGTTTGAATATAGCATGCGTCGTCGACTAATTGGTAATCTCATCCTAAAACACTGGCTTTGATTTGTTGGATCCCTTTTCAGTGAAAAACCTACAGAAAATCCTATACTGGGAACCTTATGCTAATTTTGAGAATCTTTAAAAACCTTTAGTGGTAGTCAGTTTATAACATAATACTTTAGAATGAAAAAATATCTGTGATGGTACATCAAGTCTGTCTAGATAAGTTCGTAGAGACTGGATAACTCGGTGGCTCAAAAATCGGCTCACGACGAAAGCTAGTTAATATCATTCTGGTTGTTCTTGAATCGCATCTTGAAATGTTATTCTGTTATTATTATGTAATTTTTTCGCTCTAGTATTTCCACAAAACTGTCATCTTGTTTTGTACAGTCCATTTTTGATGCTTGGTTAACTCAAAGGTTTTACGCTCGAAGTAATTATGTGTAGCATTATTTCGCATAGAAAATCTAACAAGATAAATTAACTGACGGGTTTTTATTACATGGACCTGTAAGTTTCACATTTATACAACCAGTCATTTGAACATTCTCCGTATGCAAGTGCGATGTGCCCCATTTTCTTTTGTGTTTCGCTTATTTTTGGATTACATTTACATTTTAATGATTACATGTTCGATTCAGGGGCCGTGACGTTAGTCGGTACACAACGTATCTCTGTGGTGCCCGGGATTATCCTGATAGCATGGATGCTATGCGTATTATCCTTAAAGAACAGGATTTAATTCCGGATGCAGTTTTGCAGGTTAGTCATCTTTTATAAATTCTTTACTATCACCTGTAGATATCCTGTAAAAGTTTTTTACAATTCACCAAGTGATAGTTTACGGAATCAAATCACAAAGTTGAGTATAAATGTAGAAATTTATACTTTTTTAATAAATAACGGGTATTGAAAGTCGAATTTCGAACTTCCAAATAATTTCCATGAACTTTGGTAGCTCTACTCCATTAAAAGTGTAAACTTCTTTCCAAAGTTTAATGGGATTCGTCCGTTTGCACTATTAAACGCTCAGTATTACGAAGAATATATTACATAATGCGTCAGAGTTTTCTTATAGAACAGATATAACGGAACTGAAGGGTAGACACTTATTATGTTGTTTACTTGTGACGGTCGGCTATGAATAGAGAAGGATTCATACGGGTTAGCTGGATTTGTATCCTTTTTAAGTTGATGCTCATGAATGAACAACTATGTCTTTTGTAACGACGGTTGTCCGAGAGTTGATGCCGATACGCAGGCTTCTTATTCATTAGCCCGATGGGCTACTTCATTGGAAATATATATATATATATATATATATATATATATATATATATATATATATATATATATATATATATATATATATATATGAAAACTAGGTCATCGATGGTATGTCTCATTCTTTAGAAATGAAAGCTATTTCTAGCCTAGTCACATGTTTTCATCATTTGGTGGATTTACGATTAATCTAATGTTTCAATATCCGTATCAAATTCCTGTATACGAATGTTATACACGAAATTATTTACTTAGTAATGCGTTGCTTTCCCCTATCTTTAGGTTAATATTTTTCATGTTAGGCGTTTTTGAGAATACAAGTAATGAAGAATGTCTTATGTTAATTTTTTGATTTTAAAATTGATTCGTTTTAAGCATTTAAAAATCAATTTCAACGCGAAGATCTCAAGCGTTTTTGAAACATTCCTCTCAAAAGATTATCGATCCCCTAGCTGTTCAAAATAGATGTGCGAGATAACATCACTGGAATAATAAGGAGTAGCAAATTGTTACTAAATTGGAAAAATTCAAGTATTTGTTAAAAGTAAACTCTTCATTAAGCATTTAGAAAACTGCATTTTTGATTGGTCACAGAAGCAAACGGATCGAGGGTAAATCGAACAGATTTCACATCCTTCAGAGTGTTATTTCCTATTTCTAAAGTCACTTCTTTAATATGCTCCCTTTAGATGATCGCCCCTATTAATATACACTTCTTTTCACTCACCATTTTGGTCGAATACCCTCCTTGCTACCTCAATTGTCAAAAATTTGCAACCTAATCAACTGATTTGGTATTTTTGCGTAATAGCTTATATCTAAAGTCAACATTACTAACTCATTTGTTTCACAAAACATAGACAATGCTTCAGAAACAAATCAAAACCTGCCACGTATGCATATCCCCTACTTTCAGAGGCCATGCTTCAATGCCACAAAGTAATAAAGAGCAGCAAGTTTAAGGGGTATTCAGTTATATGACTTTCGTTCTATCAAACCTCACTGGAAACACATACAAAACAAGTTGACAACTCATATCTTACCAAACTATTTGATAAACACTCATTATTTTTTTCAGCTTGAGGAAGCATATAAAGGAGATGCCCCCCCACCAGTAGCTTTGTTACGACAACCTATTTTCATCGGTAAGTTTGTTTTAATTTACTAATTGTAGCTTCGATGGGAGATTATTTTTGAAAGTTAAGTTTGAGATTTACAAACAATTCCATAACTTTACCAATACCAAACCACTTCGTTTATCTTGTGAAACTAAGTTAGAGCCTATCAAATCCCGAACTTTATAGGTAACATTACCTGTCAATAGAAGCAGTTTAACTATTTATTTCTAATACAAATCAAATTAGATGATCATGTGTTTAAGGGGTGAACACTTCGTGTACCATGATTTAGACTGCTTATCAGTGCCATCGGTTAACACAGGTAGTTCAACTTTCTAGACCTTAACCACAATGTTCATACCCTCATTCTAGGTAACTAGACCATAAGTAACTTGATGAAGTGGTGCTATGTGTTGACTTGGTCGTCTTTAAAGTTTTTCTAATCAGTTTAGTTCATCGAGTTGTACAATGGTTACGAATGGGTACCTTGACAGATAAGTCAATGAATATCCACTATATTGTCAAATGATTTACAATCTGTTGTGACATTTTAAACCTAACGGTGCTTCGAAAACATTTACGACCAACTACTTGCATTTGATTTATATCACCTGCCTTCAAAGGTCTTATATCCCAACTATAAAGTAGTACAGAGTACATGTACTTAGATAGACATCAATCTATGATTCTGTATCCATCGCTAGGTTTTTCCAGGAAATTTCATGCAACTCCCAACATAATCGATATGCTCAACTACTTCTGTAGGCATTGACTTAGACCAGTTCTAAAGCACAATTTCGCTCTGGTAATAAGAAAAAACTCTCTCTGGGCACTTTCATATGGTGACTGAGGTTTTTTAGGTCTAAATTTCATCAGCGTTTACATGAAACAGTATATTTGTTGCGGACTAAAAAGAAGTGAGAATTTTCTAGTACTACAAAATGATGTATCTTATTAAATAATTCTGTTTAAACAAGTAGTTTGATACTATGTGCAATATTAAGAAGGGTTTTTAATATTTACTGAACATAAGTGTCCCTGGTATCATTATTTATTCAGGATCGAAGGAAAATATGCCTATTCTTGTTTAGACTTACTCCGATTTTCTTTTCTGTAACTAGCTAATTATTAACTGAATTTCAGAATGAATATAAGCAAACAGTCTTCTTTAATATATCTCTCTTGTAACCCCTAACACTAACAGTTTGTACGTCAATTTACAAAGTTTTTGTGTTCTTTTGTTAAGTATTACTTTATTTGTTTAAGCATACTACACTTGTAGAATAAATTACCATTACTAAACCTTTCGTTGTCGTACAAGGTAAAATTAGTAAGTGTTTCATGTGTTACAATAAAATAAAATAGTTTTTCTTATCCACAACACTTTAATCCTTTACGATTTAAACTATGTTGATGTTGATTGAACTTGCTAAAAACTATGCATACAAAATCACATGTGTAGCACAAATATATTTTTATTACAATAAAGAAATACGTTATTTAAATTGCTATCAGTTAGATGATGATAAATTTATGCAGGGATTCGATTAAGAGTGTCTTTGTATACTTGTTTTCTTTCTGTATTTAACTGATTAGCGGGGTTTGAACTGGCACTTGTGACGGATATTTTGTAGTGTATCCTTCCGTAAATTCTTCGTCAGAAATAACTTACTGCATGATATCTGATATTCTTAGTTGGATGAGCAATTTTCTTACCAGTAAACGTAATAGGTATCAAGATCGTTATTTATTAAATTAATGAGCCTATGTGCATGTGCAAAAGATGATTTATAGCATTTCAAAGTTTATTTATGTGTTAACCATTTGTAATGAATTTCACAATAATCATATTATTTTTATGTACTAGCACTTCTAGCAGATGCATTATTTGCAAGTTCTGACAGATTGTTAACTGAACAATTAGAACAATATGCATATCTTTACAGCTATGCTGCAGTGGTTGTTGAAGAGATTGAACATACTACTGAACGGCGTATCTCGTGTATACGTACTGAAGTTGATGAAGCGAAACGTGAAGTTTTAGAAGCAAGTCGAATTTGTAGACAAGTATGTACCAGTAACCTATCTGCGATATTCTGCTTTTTTTCATATTTTGTGCTCCTTATTTTCTGGTGGTTACGTTTAGTTTATTATCTTAGGTGTGCTGTTTATCGCGATTGTGTCACTTATTTAAAATCGGTTTACTTCACTTTTAGTACAACAATATTGTCGTTTACATGCACGTATACTTGAGACTCACTTTGTACATGTGTATCATCAATAGCTGCTTTATATACAATAACGCTGCAAATAAACGGAACACAAGTAGACTAAAACAACCTAACAAATTTTTTACTGCTTAAAATCATCACGCAAAAAATCAATAATCACAAAAATGCGTACAAGTGATTGCTTCAATTACGGCGGAAGAATAAAAGTGAATTAGTCACTCAGTCAGCTACAACGTAGGACCAGGCACATATATGTATCGGTCCAAGTCGCCACACCTCATTAGCACTACAAGATGAACACCAAATTCATAGTAGTTACTTCAATGGTGGTAATATATAAAAGAAAGATTGTGTATAACGATATAATACAGAAAGAAAGAATTAGTTCGTAGAAATAAAGGTATGAAGCAATTTTAATCTCACGGTTTAAGGAAAGACAAAGAGTGAATACACCTACGTCATTGCGATCGATTCTAAGCCATGTCACCAAGAGTTTTCAACCACTGGTTACGATAGTCACGCGGACTTTAATCAAGTAGTCTGCATCTACCAACATGGCACAGACCAGAGGTTAGTGACTTTGTGGACTGATGCCACGTTTTTGTTTGGCCATCGCTAACATTCTTCCAACCATCCCCAACACTAGTCAGCATTGAGCGTCTTAGTAATCAGTGTTTAGGTATACGTAACACGTGGCCCAACCATCTCCAGTCGATGAAGATTCACAACCTCATCAACTGATTTACCAACATTCCCTAGTACCCTTTGTCTAACCTCAATATTGGTTACCCGGTGATCCCAGAAGATGCTGGCAATATATCTAAGACATCTGTGATCGAATACTAGTAACTTACGAGTATCTTCACGAGCCTTAGTTAGGCACCCGATATTGAGGCTAGTATTTTAGGTGCTATGTTAGTCAAACTAATCCCTCTATGATTATCACAAGACGATTTTGGTCCCTTCTTATATATTGGGACAATCAGTGAGTGCGACCAGTCAAATAGGATTGTATTCAGTTCCCAGATTTTAGCTAAAATATTAGCCAACTTAATCTCTAAAACTGGACCACTATACTTAGGGACCTTTTGAGCCAATCCATCTGGACCAGCTGCTCTTCATCGTTTCACATTAGCCATAGTTTTTTGGACTTCATTTAGAGTCGGGGGAGGAGGCATATTTTAATGTTTGTTTTTCTGTTTGATCTAAGCTACCTACTTGGGCATTAAAGTCAGCTTCAACGAGTACTGAGCGTTTAGCTTTATGAAGAAGTTCAGAGAGCTTTCTGTAAAAGTCATCTTTCACTTTATCCTGGCTGCAGTCATAGGAAGCGTAGACAGAAACGACGTGTGTCTCTATCCTTCCGAGTTCTTACGGAGCCATTTATTGGAACAGCACATAGGCGACCGTTAACGGGGAAACACTCTAATAATGCTTGTTCTGCCCTCGTACTAAGTGCTATACCTTCACCTACAAGTCCACTAGAACTAGCCATCGGGTCGCCAGATACATGGTGAGTGTCTCGTCGGTTCTCCATTTTAGTGAGGTGAGGTCAAGTGAATGAGCACACTAGGATCCTATATGTGTGTTTCAGAGATATAGCATGCATCAATGGTGCCAGATTCTAGGGTTTTAGCCAAGGAGGCCACTGGGTTATTGGGTGCGTACGTTGAAGGCTCTAATGTGTAGTTTGGAGCGAGGTTTCAGTAGACCTGGGACAGTGTTTCGCGCACTAGAATTGTTGGTCATGGTTATACTTGAGGAGGAAGCCGAAAAGGGAAGTTTAGTGTTGAAAATCGAGGTAGGGGAAATAATAGGAATTGAAGAAGGAGATTGATTATGAATACAGCGATCTTGAGTGATGTTAGAGTTATGGGGGTGGTTATCACTTCCCGGTTGCCCACACCGTGGAAGGGTTCTTCCGGAGATACCTGAAAAGGAAATTGGATTAGAAGTGATCTTAATGACCTGAGAACGTGACCGCAGTGCCCAAGGGACAACTGCTTGAGGTTGGTCACACACGACCTTTTTTGAATAATTTTTGTGTTGGCTCCGTACTTTTTGAGACCTTACCACCGGAGATGGAAATCTGTGGGATAAGACGAAATGTGCATTTTTAGGATCGAACTTTTCTAAACCCACCTCTCATTGTGGGAAAGTAGCATCGCTGTTATGCTGGTTATCTGAAGGGGACACCTTACTGCCGTCACACCTCTGTACAGTCAGCAGTACGACTTCGCATTCGGACCTTGGGTTTGCCGCTCTTAGTCTTACCGCTCTTCAGCTGACCTGTATGGCATGATAGGACCTTCAGGAACGATTGTTCCAACCAGTGTCATCATCATAGGCAAGCCCAACCACCACGTCAATGTAGCAGCAACGGTCGGACCAAGAATTAATAAAATTGGCGAATGAATAGTATTGAATGTTATTATATAAAAAAACCTAAATGTGGTAGATGATAGCTTGCATCTCCACGACATACTATTTTGGCCTACATTTTCATTTATTGATTGTGATAATGATTCTGACTCCAACCACAAAGTCTGCGCCTTTCTTAGGAGCTGTGATCAACGATGAAAATATTATATTAGTCAGATCATTAGTAGCTTTTTCATTTTCATCACCCTAATGTCACTCATCGGGTACTCAATGAAGATGTGTATCTGGAATTTACCAAAGATAGACTTGGTACCAGTTGCTATAGGAATTCCTTGGCATTTGTAAGTATTTAACTTGTAAATCATTAGCACCTAATAACAACAAATATCTCAAGTTTCTCAGTCAATAAATGTTAACTTCAATGATTAATTTGTTTACTTTGCTTAGTACTCTATCCATGATCACAATAATGATTATTTCTCTACTATGTGATAAGTAGCACTAAATTTGTTAGGTATTTTATGGCAGTGACTGTTTTCGTTCTTTTGTACATATTCGGTCAATTAATTAAAATTTCTCTTATCTGAAATCTATTCAGCAGTCTGAATTCGCAATTCAGAGTCCGTCTTACGCAAAATAATTATATTCTTATAATAATGCGCCAAAGTCAATATTTTTATAACTTTGGTGGCTGTGGAAAATCTTTTTTCAAGTTGTTATAATTTATGGTATCGTACATACGAAAGACTAAGTAGGCTTCACTGTAAAGTGACAGAAAAATATTAGAATAGTTTTATTTGACATTCATCCCACTTCCTACTCAATGTAATTATGGTTTCGCAAAATAGATATTAATTTTATGTACACTTTTATCTTCATTTGATTTAGTATGATAATTTACTTTCAAAGAACAGTCTGCCCAAACAACTCGTTGCCACTAATAACTTTCGTCACGTAATTCGCTATAAATTAGTCATAAGCTTCAATTCAGTTTACATACACAAGGTGCTTTTACAATAGCTTTCTTTCATTTTTCATTTCAGTGGAACAATATGTCTGGCAGTGGAATTAGTTTACGTGCTTTCCGAGATCTTCCATCGCTTTTGAGATGTTTATCATGCCGACCCGTTTCACTTGGTGTATTTCGTTTTGTTCGGGTCGTTTTTCATACGAAACGCGTTGATTTCGAGTTAAATATGGACACCATGAAACCTTACTGTATAGTAGTGAATGAACTAGCTGAGGTCAATGAATATTTACGTCCAGCTCTCTTAGCATTTATCACAGAATTACTGGCTTCTTCAGTTGAAGGAATGGAAGACTTGAGTCAGGTATGGTCGAGGCATCTTCTGTTAAACGCTCTCTTTTCATAAGTTCGTTTTCAGATTTTCTTCATTACTTTATCTCATGTTTTTGTTTTCTTCGATTTAAACAAAGTTTGTCGTTCTTAGCCCCATAGTTTATAGAGATTGTTCACTTTACAGATAACTTTACACCATGGATTGGACTTCATTAAACAGACACTAAAACCCAAAAGAATATACTAATGAATAAATTACAGATGAATTTTCAAAACTTTAGTGAGGTGCTGTGATTGATGAAGTCCAATCATTTTTGGTGTTAGACAGGTACCATAGTTGATAATCAATGGTAGTTACGCGAAATCGCGAACCACCTGAAGCTGAAAGTGTTAACCATCGAACTTCAATTTGCGTAATCTCAAGGTAATAAACTCACTGTTGGGTGTAATCGTTCTAAGTTTGTTTCCTGATCGGGTCGTAGCTATTCACTGCTGAAAAATCACGTACTAGAACAAAAATATTGTTCGGTGATCGTGGGTTTCTATCTAAAGTCAGTCAATGATGTAAACTGTTACGTATTACCAAAAAATCCTAATGATATTTCTGTAAAATAAACTGCTTCCTGCTACTTTTTCAACTGAACAAGATTGGTCAGACTCAATCCACTAAAAAATCCAAGACTTTTAGATGGACATCTAGTTACAAACCAATCATCGATTACAAGAACATCCTAAATAAATATGAAAGATGTCGTTTTAAATGCTTGGTCAATAAATGAATTTAGATCAGTTGAATTAGCATTCAATAACTTAACATTTACATACAATTGGATTGTATATCTTCCTCCTTTCTCATATAAACTATTCACAAAGTTGATATCTTACTGTGCAGCAATCACCTCTAGCAGCGTTTCACATAACATTGTTTACCTTTTGATTTCTGAAGGGATTTAAATACTTACTTTGAGTATGTTTATATTTACCACGAACATATTTTCTTAATTTTTTCCTATTTTGTTTCTCTCTGTCAGTAAGACCTATTTTAATAGTTACAAAATATCCGCTTAAAAATAATTTCACTACCTGAACGTTTATATTTCACAGTTAGAATACAAACGAATGTTGGTCGGATTACTTGTACATTTACTATCATGTGGTCATGTACTTCCTGTAATAAACACAATGCATAGACTGTTTTTACGAAATCGTGTTGATGTTTCAATTGTTCGCCATTTTGTTACAGAAGTACGTGACATGTTTTTTTTATTTTATATTATGAGTATTGTAAATTATTACAGTGTTCACCAAATACTTATCTATTTGGAATGAACACTTAAATTCATGTCGGATAACCAGAAAACAAACGGTTTGCAAATCAAGAAACCTTTTGTTATCAGTATAGGGTTGTCGAGATCTCAATCAAGGCCTTTGTTTTCAATTTTCATAATCGTCTGTTATTAGTCTTGGTATTGTAGATTAGATTTAAAAAAGTAGCCTCTAAGTTTGCAATATGTTAACCGAGTTTTATCTTTTTGTTACTGACAATTTTCTTCAATTGAGCTCACTAACAGGTAGGCCAAAATCATATAAAAATTGGTGTTAACTTGAGTAAAGCATTAAATTAGGCAACCAGACAAAATGAAATCACTATTTGATATCTCCAAATGATTGATACTGTTATGAAAAATTAAGGAGTGTTCGATTTACACTTGTTCATAGACAACTTACAACTTCCTTACTGTAGTGCTATGCACCAATAAATGATCTGGTTTCACCAGGCCGTATGCAGCTAGTAATTATGTGCACCTATCGGAAATCATGCCTGATTTTTATTGCCATAATCATTTAATACTTACTCCTCAGATGCATACCTAACCACACCTCATCTCAACGGGGAATCTTCTTAGTGAGGCAAAACGACCCTCCTTTTATGTGGTTTCGTAACTGGAGGAATTACCAAAAAATAAAACTGGCCTAAAATTGTGGATTGTTAAGAATATTTCAGTTAATAAAGACGAATATAGACGCTTGCGAAACTATTAGCAAGAGTTTATAGTTTTTTTCATTCTCTACCACCTGTTCAATCTATGGAAGTATCAAATGAAACAGTACACGTTAGTAAATAATAATTTATTGAGTTAGTACATTTACTAGAATATTTAACTGGCATTCATATGCATATAAAATGTTATCATACACTTGAGTCGACCGTAAACCTTGCTGATTATCACTTAGGTGATATAGCTCCTTGGCTTCCTTCTACGAGGTCTGTTCCGGGTTATGTTTTGACAGTGGGACTGTGGCTTTGTAGTTGAACCACATGGTTTTCAACGATTAGATCTCGGTTTCGTGTCCCTTTCTGTTTAGCTCGCTATTGGCAAATTGATAATATCGCTACCTCTCACACAAGATATGTCTGAAAGTCGACTAGGCAAACCTGAACATGATGAGTTTTCCAACTAAACGGCAAAAGTTAGCTATTTCATGTGCATTTAATTCCTATGGAATCATGTCATTTAGGTAAAAACATTTATGTATCTGCGTAGACAGACCAATTAAACCATTTAAGATATTTTTTGTTAATTTATTTGGTGAATTGTAATAATACTTATTCATCCATTGCATATTGTCACATCGTGTTGTGGAGATGGATTTTATACATTAGATTGATAAAAACGTTTTATGCCAAGTATAAATAAATATTTGTACGTGATATCCGTTTTCATTTCCCAAAACCATCATATTCTTAGCTATATCAAAGAAAATAGGAACCAACCGTAAACGCAATCGGTTTATATTTTAGTAACAACTGCTAAATTGCTCAGAGTGAAGTCAAATTGCTTAGATAAATGTCAGCTATATTTACTACGTAATAAACATATGTGTAGCGGTATACTTTATTACGTCTCATACTGACCTCCGTTTCTAGATAACTGCAATGACAACGACTGTTTTCATTACACTGTTTAAATAGGTTCAGACACCTTGTTAGGTCACCATTAATAGTTTAAGTTCTATACTACTGTCTTAAAAAGTTTGAAAACGATTTGAATCAACGCTTATTAAAAACTAATTATTAAGTCGTTAACAATATGTCGAGGTTAACAGATAGTGTATCTGTTTATAGGTTATCACATTTCCTAATTATAACATTTCTTAAGTTTTATTTAAATACTTTTACAGACTGGTCTATTTAATTTTATCCAATAAAATAATGTAAATTCCGTAGCGACATTTTAACTTGACATGCACTAATACGGTTTTATTTATCCTGGGACGACACAAAAATGCAACACAATGTGCAAAAGTGTTATGAAATAATCGATGTATTCCGCAATTGTTAAACCGTTAGTGATTACATGATATTTTAGTCCCACATGCATGAATTGCATAGGAGTTTCATATTACTCAAATTTAGTTGGTACAAATGTATTGTATAACAATTCTTAAACTCACATCAATTTAAACAGAATGACTTGAGAGGAGAGTTTGTTGTAAACAAATCCTTTAATCACATTTTCGAAAACAGTCCGCAATATTTAAGATTACTAAATCAACGACCTACTGAAATAAACTATAATTAGAATACTAAATCATGTACTGGTTCTTCAGCTTTTGCTTCAGATTTGGAGTGTTACAAAATAATTTACCAAGCACTTTCATACTTAGCCAGAAGCAAATCTAAATTTTTGATCGAATTTAGATTGCTTACGTTTTATATACTCTTAAAGTCGTCGAAAATTGATGTACCATGTGAATTCATTTATACATAGTGTTTCATATAAAGGCTTGTTCGTGTAATTCAAAAATCTATTTTTATGATTCCTTTCCAAAACCTAGTAGTTGCAGCTACGTTTTAATGAAACTGTTTCAGTATAAAATCCATTCACACATTTATGCATACTATATTGTTATTAATAATAGGTTCGCCAGTCCAGACACGTATATTAACCTAATCTTTCAGTTTTGTAACCCGATCTCTTCCTTTAAAGTGACGTGTAGTATAAAAATTATAACTACGGCTTTAAGATAGTGTTCAGCTTCATGTTATTTCATTTATCTGTTTACTAGACAAGATCTATGTAATTCATTACCCTTATTCATATCACAATGATCAATTATTTTGTCTGAAGTGTAAACGATAAACTGTTTGAAATACCATCCAGTAATTACTACTGTACTGCACCTTTAACACATCCTTCTTAACTTACTTTATTCCAAAAATGTAGAGAAAAATAAAGCTAATCCTAATACCGAAAAAAGCATTTGGCTTTAAGAATACAAGATTTAGATAAAAAATAACTTCACCTTTTCTTACAACAATGGAAAGACTTTTGCTACTCCCACTTCAACCCACATTAAAAGAGCGTATCAGTTTGGTTAAAAATGCAAAAGAATTACCCTAGATGTTGCTGTTGTTCCGCATCGTAATATAGCTTTAGCTTGAAAAAGCGTAAGTATGTTTGATACGCATTTCTAGACTATACTTCTGCTTTTGACTCTATTCCAAGGCCACTATTACTTAACAAGTGTGTCGGCGTCAACACCGACAACTGGATAACCGACTGGTTGTACTCTTACCTCTCTGCAAGAGAACAGTATACTTGTAAGAAAGAGCTCAACGTCTTTGCTAACTCAAGGTGTGACACAAGGAGCTGTATTCCCCCCTATCTCTTTTTTTTGCATGACCTGCCATCTTTTTCAGAAAATATTTGTTAAGGATGCGGATGGTCTCACATTCTGTTCACTGATTTCTGCCTCTTTATATCTCCTTGAAATGAATAAGTCTTAGTTGCTGGTTGAACGACTGTCTTTTTTTATTGGTCTCACACTTAACCCTTCTAGATGTCAGACTGTTTACTTTATCATGAGACATAGGCAGAATTTAAACACTTTTTGGAATCCCATGAAGTTTGTACTATTGGAGATTCTGTAATAAAGAGAATGTCAGAGGTCACTTACCGTGGTGTAAGTTTTTCGTCTGACCTTTCTTGGTCTTCTCATACTTTATTGATATCGAAGTGAGTTTTCTGCCTGACCTATTATATTACCCCCAAATGCACTGGTACGGCCGAGAGTGGGGAGAGTCAGCTCTCCCTCTCGAAATGCCCTCACATGACCACGTGGATACAACCACTACCAGGGAAGTCCAACACAATGGCTTCTCGCGGCGGGGCTGTCGTTTACGAAATTGAGAGGACGAAAAGCGAATGTCCGGCGCTTTAACCGGGTTGGTGGACATGGACGGTCCATCCAGGAGATTCAGGAAACCCTGATCCCGAACCAATGATGCACATGGGCTCCAGGATCTTGAAGGAACAAATGACGTGTGAACCAATCGTTGGTCGTCGGCTACCATGGGACTGCATCTCCACTGTCTTATGGATCAAACTTTTAGGTCGGACGCCCCGCGTGTTACTCCTTGAGAAAACACAAATCAAGTGACTTGTGTGGTGCATATGTATTCGGTGCCCCTTTTGTACCAATATTTATGTGTTTAAATAAATAAATATTATATAAAGACGCTACATGCTTTTGGGATTACTCGATAAATACTTTTACGTTTTGTGAATTCTTGTATACTTCATATTGTTCTTTACTCTTCCTCATTACCCTTCCCGAGCTTTTAAGAAAAGATTTTGCTGTATTGCGGAGAGTGCTAAAGACATCAGGGTGTGTGGCAAATCTTTTGAGGTCATTATTAATATGGTTGTGGATAGGCACATTACATTGTGCAAACTCCTGGCATGTATTATCTCACCAAATGCTAACCATCGGCTCCCTTCACATCTTTCTCCTTGTTTATCTTCTGGTAGAACGAAATTCCAGTACATTAAAATCCCTGGATATAACTAAATGTATAAAAGCTCTACAATACCTTGTCTAGCAAATGTACTACGTGACGAGCAAGTTGTAAGAGCCGACTTAGTCAGAGCTTGTATTATTGGATATGTTGCCGAAAGTTGTCTAGATTCTTATCTTCTTAAAAACATTTCGTTTAATTCCAGATAGTTTATTTAATTATTTCATGTATAAATATGCACAGGTGTCGATTGTTTTTATGAGAGCAACTTATGGAAATATTGTGTCTTGACAATCTCTTATTGTACTAAACATGTGATACTGAGTAAAGCCATTAATAATAATAAATTTTTTGCGTAAAATGTAGTACTGACATCGTCTTAAAGCAGGAGTTTATCTAAGTTTGAAGATTTTTGTTTACTGAAGATCTTGAATATAGGGACATCAGTCTTTTTATACCATCAACCTAGTTTCTAAGCTGATCAAACTATTTAAACTACATTAGTTTCATAGGTTCATTTTTTCCTACCTTTCATATTGTTGATGTGATGAATATCCACTAGTTCCTCATTTTAGAGTCCCATTTTTCTTCATTTCTGTTACACTCCAGGTACTAAAGGTGGCGGGACAACCTTATTCAACATTCTTCATGAATGCATTACATCCTCTAGTTGTTCATCCAGATATCAGTGATGGTTTAAAAGGGGGAAAGGACACAGATTACGTGAATGAGTTCCTCGGTATGTTAATTTTCAATAAGTAATTTGACATGTATCTCAAGCATAATAGTATACCGTCCGTATAATTGATTTTTTTTTGCTTTTCAGAGTATTATGAAAAAGAAAACTCGCCGTCGCCAAGTTATTAATTTGTCATCTTATGACTTATGTACATAATATGTTCTTTATAATTACAATGTTTTTTTAAGTTCTCCATTTACTGAATTAATGTATCCTTTGCAGTGGTACCGACAAATATTCGATAGTAATCGATGTAAGATATTCGAGCTCGGAATATTTTGTCCTAAAACCAGTGGTGTAGTTAGGTCGATATTTTGAGTCATGATTTGGTTTAAGCGGTCACCTTTCAATCATTCAACGAAGTGCTACAATCAATACTGTGACATCGAAATATGACATAACCTAGTTTGAAAATGTTCTCGTGGTCACAATGTGTCGTTTGTGTATAGCTTGTTTCCGCAACTACCGCCGGTTTCCGTGCTCAATTTAGAGTGGTCCAGAAAAAATAAGATAAAGACGCGATGTTCTGTGGTTTTAAATTAGTTTTATTTCGTTGGTAAATTTCCTTCAAAGGAATTGATTTACTTACTCATTTGGTAAATATACATTGCGTTTGTCAATGGTTTATTAATTGAGTCGTATTTAAAGATGATTTCCAAGAAAATGTATTCATCACATTACATTTTTTCACCCCAACAACATGTTGAATAAATAGATAAAAATGCTATGTTCGAAGTAGAACTAAAACCACTTTGTACCACCATCAACTAATCAATCACATCTCACTCTGTTAAAATTGATAATTGACTCGTCTTTCATTACATTATTATTTATAATAATTCATTTTTGGCTAGATCGCACCATAGCGATTTGCAATCCGCGTAACCATAAGTCTAAGTATTCACTAATTAAACGATCTCTAGTTGGATTCACTGTACTGGATTTACGTAAATCACTACAATACCCATTTAAGTGTGGCTTTACTAACCAAGTACCGTGATCACATGTTTCGATTTCGAGATGATCAAGATGTGGAGTGCCTTTTTGATAATTACCTTTTACGTGTAGAATTTCATCCACTGAAAGGTAGAACCAGTTCTTTTCCTTCTGGATTTCATAGAAAAATAATTAGAAAAAGTGAATTAAATGATATACTTAGGTATGTTTTGTTGTCAGTGTTCATCTTAAATATTTGGTGATTATAGAATAGTTAGGTAATGGAATAAGATTAAATGATCGTTGCTGTTCTATTGTTTAGAGGTCGAAGTATTTTGTGTTAAATGTTATCAATATGTAACTCTTAGTTTCAAGCCAAATTTCGAGGAGGGACTAAGGTTTTTACCGCCCTACGTATACGGACACAAAACTATAATATGGATATTTCTTCACGTTTTAGTGTTTGGAGTTCATGTAGTAGCCAATACTTCATTTACTGTATATTGGATAGAAAGTAAGCCCTTCTTTAAACCAAAATACCAGCTCAAAGTCCACTTTATTTGTTAATAGGTTGTGCCAAATTTTAATAAAGTTTCTGGCTGGCTTATAAACCAGTACTTTGGTAATTGACTATAAATTTTAATCTCCTTAGAATGAGATTTACTATTATTTTTATAAAAAAAGGCCGCTTAGAAAAAGAATAAATGAGATAAATTATCTGATAAATTTCTAGTAAAAATAAGTAGAATGATATTGATCTTCCAACTTCCATCCACCATCAAGTCACAATAAATAAGTTAGACATATAAAATGTTCCCCAGCTACATCAGTCGGTGAAGATTCATATATATATTCACCTAGTACCCTAAATCTACCTTCATTATTCCTCAATCGGTTACACAGGATCCTTGGGCTTAAAAGGTAAAAATGTGATCTACATCACAGGTAACCCAATTTCACGAAAACTAATAAACCCTTTGAATTCATGTCTAGGTTTCATCATCTGTCGATACACCAGTACTGACAAGAATTAAAAAAACATTCTGTCTAATTCCTTCAACTGTTTCACTCCCTCCTATCAGAGTAACCATTGATGCACACCAGTCCTGAAGAAAAGTTTTGTATTAAAAGGCAAAGGAACATTTGTGTTGTTTAGGACGTCTAAAAGATTTCATTTTGTCATCATCTTTGCCGAACAGAACTACATCAACTATTTATTCTAGGTCTACAAGTGAATTTTTTGGAAAGTATTAAGATGTTAAAACGTTTTTTGAAGTATGTGTTATCTCTAGAGACATCAATCCTAGACGTCTTTATTCACAAAAATCAGTTGGTAATCGTATTCCAAAGTTTCTAGACTAATCCACTCACATTTGTTGGCAGTAGTCGTCATCCATTGACAATAGAGTACCATTGTAAATCAGATATCGATTGATCGCTATTTCATCCTAATATATAGATCCATAGTGACAGTGAGTTTTATAAAAACTTATCCGAGTTATATCATATCTGTTTTTATAGATGATATCTCAGTAGGTTGAAAAGCTATTGCATTCCTTAGGAATAATTTGCGTGATGAACTAATTATGGTAGATTCATGGTTATTTTCAATAACGACAATCTCCAGAGAGAGAAGTATTCTGTACGAGATAGTACGGTACCATTCTAACATACTTGCCTAGTTATTGATCACTCGTCATGTTACGATGTAGAACTTACCCTGGTTTTTAATGATGAAATATCTCTGTGGGATGATTGCTGATTTGAACTTTCGCAACCAGCTTTGAAAGTAGGTAACTTTGGCCAACTGACGTTATGTTTAGTTTCAAAATAGTTCCACGCAATGAATCCATCTTCTAGCTTAAATTCTCGTACCTGCCAACTTCTTATCCAAGCTAATGCACGTGGAATAGTTTTGATATGCTTTATCTTTACTGTCCCAGTTAATCGCGGATTTAAAGGGTTAAGCTCGTAATCTAAGTTAAACACGTTTCCCTGTACGGAGATTTCATGTTGCTTGCTTCCATTGATTCCTGTCATACCTACAGTTCCTGAAGAATGGTCCTTCCAAACTTCATTACCACTTCCACAAACAAAACAATCCCACTCTACTCCTCCGAGATATGCTTTCTATTAAAACAAGTAATATGATAATTTAACCACGAGAATTTGTGAAAGCGTATGTTATATGGACAAGATAATTACTATTGACATAGAATGCTTGTAAATGTTTCCCAATTTAAAGATTGGCTATTTCAAAATACTAGTTCCTGAGTGCTGTATACCCCTTGTTTTCTGTGAAGTAGAATTCAAGTCAAAAATAAAACCTGCTTTATTTGTCTGTGAATTTAATTCACTAAGAGAATGCATGTGAATGGTTTCTATTTATGTATGATTGAGATTTTGGGGCTAATAATGCACACGAAAGGTAACGTATACAGATAGTGTTATATAATAATTCTCCAATACATTGATATATATGAGTTCGATTATGATTAGTTTCTGTCTACATGTACATATGAAGTAAATTCCCAAATGACAAGGAAAAAATAATTGAAGCTAGTTTTCACCATTAAATAATCTTAGATTAAGATACATTTTATCAGATTCTGTGCAAATCGAAGGGTTCTGACCTCGTAAGAGTTCTAAACTGTTACTCAGCGCTCCTTAGTATTCGGTTGTTCCATAAACGATCTCAGATAGTGATGAAAGCTATTTTTCAAGCATAAAAATCTTCATAATTAACTCAAGCAAATATGTATTTTGTTTCTGGCATAAATGAAAACTTATATACATATTGTTAGCATGATATTAGTAGATCAATGTATCGATAAGTTTGATCATAGACAATGTGGATAGTAAATAAGCTACTGTCTAACTAACCATCAGTGATTCATACATACATTTATCTTCACCCTATAATAACTAGATCACAATACTTTTTCCAGGTTAGGCTTATCAAAATTACAATGTATTTTGGCTGATTTTTCTCCGACGAAATGTATCGTGAAATTTAGTCTATATGGGAACTTTTAACACATTATGGCTTATTAACTTCGTTGAGTTTTATGAAAAATTATCCCACGACTGTTATTCATTTAATAGTATCATGAAAAACAGTTTATCGATTATTTTGCTACCTCAATAAGTTATATAACTGTTTATTTATCTTAATTTGCGTGATTAAGGTCGACTCAGCACCTCCGTTTTGCATGAGGTTTAATCTTTGATTAATAAGTGGCATGATGAAATTCTTGGTTTAAATAAGTCCACTTAGCAGTACTGTGTTTCTCTCTACTATTATCCCGTGTGTATTTTGATTCAATTATCTCTAAATTTATATATGTATTTTCTTGATTACTGGATAATAAAAATCAGAACTGCAAGATTAATCTTATTTTATAATAATCAAATTATTCACTTGAATTAAAATCTCTTGTTCAACGTTTATAGACAAAATAACCGAGGTTATTGATATTCTCCAAATACAAGGTTTGAGAAAAATACCATAAATTTTATAATATTTCATAGTTTATTTCGAATAAATCACTTACCGGCATTTTTGTTTCCTTCATTTGAAATAGTTCAAAATAACCGATTTCCTTCAGCTCTTTCAAAAGTTTACCGAGTTGTTCAAATGTTGGATAGGAGTGGGTGGCTATAAAGAAGAAACTCGATTGACGTTTTCGCTTTTTCTTCGACTTTGTTTTCAACGAATTCCATGCACTTACTTTAGATTCTGTATATAATTGTTTGCCTATCAAAATTTCTGGCTGCCTTAATGGAGAACCATAAATAGGTTCTAGTCCATATGCTGCTTTGTTATTCCTACTGCACGGACTGACCCCATATACTTTTAGCGGGTTCAGATCACTTCCACTACAGGACAAATTGTGTAAGCTTTCATTTGTTAATTCATTCCACAGATTACGTAACAAGCACATTGACGAATGGGTTATGTGAACAGGTTTCGTGTGGTGGAACTGTACTTCCAGTATCAACAACTATGAAAAAAATCAGGCATTGAAATTTTATTTTGCTCTGCTTGGGTTGAGTTTATCCTATACACGATATACTAGGCTTTTCGTGTATATATATTTCAGCATACCATAATCTATTTTTGTTCTCTGATGATGTTTTGTGTATTGCCGTTAACCAGGATAATGGCAGTACTAGTAATGATAATTCAGGGAAGTAGTAGAACTTAATGTGAAGAGAAAACCCCGGTACTGAACAAGGTATAAGATGAAGCCATTTTAAATGTGCATAATGACGATTAGGTCGGTTACTGTTAGTAGTTACCGGGATGTGCACCCAACAGGAGTATCAATCCCTTCGAGATTCCAGAGGTACCTTATCAATCGATGGTAACGAACATAGAACGTAAGTCCAGCGCTTGGTACCTATTTCCTCTAACCATCGAACATAAAGCAATGGAGTTAATAATACTACAACGAAGTTACCTTTAGAATCATAAATGAACACAAAAGAGGATATGATAATAAGGCCAAGTGAAAGATGATGTGGAGGATGTAAAATACTTTTAGGAAACACAGGCAAAACAAATTAAATAATAATGGTGAATAATTTAATCAGGTGCGTCTTATAAAGGGTGTATCCTTGAAGTATAAGGTCAGTCTTGGACTACCCACACTTGGGCAAAACCCAGAAATATTTGTTCACCTAATAATTTCCCAACGTTAAAATTTTTGGATAGGCTAGTATATGGAATAATATCACCATAGGAATTCTTAATTACATAATGGTTGTTATGTGAATAAGCTATCAAATTACAACTGACATACTTGCATCCAAAAGACATAATATTTTGTTTTCACACTAAAGCACTTGTTTTGAAGTGATCCAGGGTATAAACATTGAGAACAATGCTTTTGGCAAGCGAAATGAAGGATTAAACTTGAAGATATTTTTTGTAAAGGTTTACTGCTCTCTTTGTTAAGGTTGAATTTCAATGATTCGGCTCTTAAAAAATTCAGAGCATTCCTTATATGCGTGTCGCTATTTTTTTCAAATATATAGGCTGATACCGTTGATCCTTGGGACTTTTCTACAGTAATTGCAATCGGAATGGGAAGATAATTTCGGACAAACATCATATACTGACTTAGTTTATCATAGTAACGAGCATGAAAACGTTGAATTGGATCATCGGTTAGGTGTGATGCTAATTGTGAAACCGACTTAATTGATTCAGAAAATGGATTGATGTTAAGGTCATCAGCTAACGTAAATGAAAAGTTTTTCTCCTTGTTGTGACCTATTTGCCTGCTACTTCTTTGATCCATATGTTGATATCCTTTCCCAGAACTCTTTGAAATAAGTCTTTCCTTTTGTTTTTCTGATCTCAAATCCTGTTTATCGGATTCAGAACAATCTGTACTACTTTTTCCAATAAATCTGAGCAAGCTTTCTTGTGAAAGTCGTTCTGAAGGGTGCCAGTATGAACTAGTGGTATAAGAATTACCTAATTCAGATAACATGCAAATACTGGAGACAGAGTGTTTACTGCACGTATAATCATCAATATCACATGATTCCACTTTTAATTGAGACAAATCGTTTCTATTCTCAATACTTGATTTCATACTTCCAGTTAACTCCGAACCAGTGTACGATCTCATTGATTCTGTATCTACACGCTGATGATTCGAATCTTGATTCGAAACGCTACTGGTTTCTCCAAAACATAGCTGTGAATCGTTTGAGTTACAACTTTCAGATTGAAATGAACAGTTAGTTGCACTAGGAACCATCCTTTTGGAAAAAAACTGTGATTAGATTTTACTGTATTTAGAAACCTGAAATAATAAAAAGTATGTATATGTAACTATATATGAATACCAGTAACAAGACTTAATTTCCTGCTGCTGTTTCGGAAATATACAGAGACTCATAATAACGTCATAAAATCTTAAATTGTTCATGATGTAATATCTACAGACTAGTAAAATGATATTTCATTTTGGCAGCTATTTGTAATCCTTGCAACTTTGAATAAATCATTGAAGAAACTAGCATATCCATAATCACTACGAGATAACTAACTTTTTGAATCGTATGACCTAAATCAGTTTGAATTTTTGTGCAGAATATTTCGATCGTTGTCACATTTCTCCTAATTACTCTCTCGGACAAGCAAAATTATCCTCTTGTAATTTCCAACTAAACAAAACGTTTCTCTCCTTAACTTTAGGTTTATTCTTGTTTTACTACTCCAAATTCTCTTACTGATGCACTGTAAACAACTGTCTACTAGGTCAGCAAAGGGGTGTATTGAGTTTTACCTGAGTAAGCTATGATGTGCTGGGCTATATGAAGCAAAATTAACAGTCGGTTTCTGTTTACGCTTTAAATAAGTGGTTTGTCTGTAGGCGTTATTTGAACTCATGGAGACAAAGTAGATAAGCGAGACATACTCCAATCGCTAAATAATTTCTGCCCCATATTTAATTTACAAAGTTCTACAATATGCAGATCGGTTGGAACTCCTAAACAGCAGGTCGTGTGATGGCCAGGGTGGCACAAACATTTTTTGGTAACACTAACGGTCTAACTTTTCTCTAAACTGTTTTCACGTTTAATCGTAAAGCCTGATGACGATGTAATTGAAAACAATTGTTCGCTTACATGTGTTGTTCTAATTTTCACAATGGGAATCTTTAATATTCTAAACGTAAATTGTCAACTGGTAACAAAACCAGATAGTAATAAGGTATTCTTAAAAAATTCAATTCATCAGTAAGCTAAATCTGAAATCGTTGGGAGAATCATCTTATTTCTGTTCGTTTAACATACAGCTTCATAAACCTGATAAGTCATTACTTCCTCTGATTTATCGAAGCTGTTCTTATAATAAAATATCAAATGGACTAGTCGATTGTCATACAGTCAACGTCTCCGGACACGAAGCTTTTTATTACACTAGAAAATGGAATATGAACTAGAAGTAGTGACATCTAATCATAGTATCGTCTTATTTCTATTAAATCGTACAGTTTGGCATCAAGTTATATTGTATGATTAACATAGTTTTAAAACCAGATCAAATATGTTAATTGGTAAGTTATAGCCAATGTAAACGGATAAAATGAAAATTTTAGTGATTATTTGAAAACAAACCGAATTATGTATTCATCCACTTTATATGAAAGGACAATTTGGAATGTAACTAAGTATTAATGTTGCCGACTGATAACTAAGCACTAATCAGTTCAAATGTATTACATGGCTCATTAGTTACTTTATGGATTGTTCCATAGTCTAAATAAACATCAACCAGTGAAATTTTCTAAAGAAACACTTACCAATTCTATAAATAACATCTCGAAACGTATAACTTTTCTGGATTACTACTTTGTGTAGAAGCATATATTTTATGAAAATAATCAGTAATGTGAACTGTACATAAAGTGAAACCACATCTCATTTATAAAATTTTAAACAGAATATGCTTCTTTTGTCTGCGCGTAGTTTTCGTAAGAAAAATCACCAAGTGCGTTCAGTGGGTTGGACTATAGCTAATAGGGGGATCTAAGGCGTTCATTTTATTTCGTTTGATGGATTTACCTGGATCTCAGCGTTAAGTTTCGGACCATATACCTATCGCTTCAAACACCAACATCTTATCCAAGAATCTGCTGAGTCTATACAGGCACTAGATTGTTTAATAGATACTGATTTAGTTTAGTGGTTGAAATTTTCTGGTTGTTGGTGTTAAGGGATGCAACTCACTGGTCGATACTGATTTATGTACGTCCTAAGCGGGTTACCCGGATATTTCCATTTGGTCATAAATTTTAAAAAAAGTTGGCTTGTAGCTAGTAATGGAATTCAAGATACCTACTTCGTCCCGTGTGGGATGCGTCGGCTAGATTTACCTTTATCACGGTGTTTATATTAATACTGAGACTTAAACCTCGTACCTATTACATGAAAAGACCCATCCATTAGATTGAATTCGGAAATTTTATGTTAATATGCTGCATGTACCAATTATAGTAGTATAAACCAAAGTATTAAGAGTTCCTATGCATTTTATTTTGACATTTCACTGTGACTTCAAGAAGAGAAATTTATAGTATAATTGTATTTGTAAAGATTATAAAGAAATCCAAGACAAAATATTCCTACACTGTTTTCCAAATAAATGTAATGTAATTAAAATATTCTGTGATTATTATATGTAAATCAATTTAATGAAAATGTAGATTCTAGATAACAATGATATGAAACGAACGCTTCTATAATTTACACTAGATGTGACCACATTTAACCACCCCCTAAATATGTTGTGGTTTGAAACCTTTATTATTATCATTATGATTAAATTATTTTAATTATTCACATAATTTACCGATACATTTAAAATTCTTATACATGACCTTATACACACATTTTCATAACCGGAATGCCGGTAGTAAATACACACGCAGAAGCTAAATACGAATAGAAAATTAATAGATATATAGTAAAGATATCTTGCACACTGTTTATTAGTATTATTTCAAACGATAAATGATTTTCCTGATCTTTAAATTACATTAACCAAGACGATAGTCAAATAGCCATGGGATTACAGCCGCTAGGACAATTTTTTGTTTATTTGATAATTCTCTATACGATGTCGATACAGAACGAAAAAAAAGAAATTCTTCGTTTCTAATGACTTAATGTAGTATTCCTCTTTTTCCAAGTTAGTAGGCTTATAAAACTCTATTTTCATTTTTAATATACGATTTCGTGTTATTTAAAGTTGATAGAATTAAGTTTTGTTTAAAGGAAAATGGTGGAACAGTCTATGTAAATTGATGTATCAGAATATATCACCACAAAACCAGGCACTTAGTACTATTTATGATAATGGATACAGATTATTATTGAAACTGAAATTTCAACAGTAATTCTATTGGTATATTGGAAGAATCGTGTCTAGACAACCAGTAATCCACAACACCTGAGTGTCAATCAATACAATACATCAGCATAATATGTTATTTTATTAAACTCAAAGATAACTAGTAAAACATACTTCGTCCACTGGTTATCAACTGAGTTTCTAATATTTGGTGAATTCCTCAATTGTGCAGACTTAACAAATTCATCGTGCCCTTTTCCATAGAATCCACTTCGTGGTACAACGTTTTAACATTTCTGACGTTTTTCGAGGATACATTGACTTTCCTAGCAGTATCTCTTTCAGGCAAAGCCAGTTTAAACTACAAAAACATTGTGTATTCTTGATGCACATTCTTATTATGTTGGCTAAACTTACAATGGAAATAACAGTCACCGTTAAAGTGGGGATTAAATTAGAATGTTCACACTCGCTAATAGATAGTATGATTAAGAATTTTAGATACCTCTTTAAAGCAATTAGAATCTCATCCGCAACTATATTTAGTCGCCTGAACTCCTAAACTTGATAGTCATCTAGCTGGATGTATACGTTTTGGAAAACAAATAACTTTCTGCTTCTGGAATCGTTTCAGCAGTGTTATTATTTAGTCATTGTGAATATCTTGATCAAATACGATATGATCATTTTAATAAGCTTTTATACCTTGAAGTCCTACACAGACTGCATCCATGCCAGTTTAAAATATCCCACATAAACCAAACTTTAGCAAAATTATATCAAAATAATCTCGAAGGTATAGTAATTATAATAAACAATTTTACTTTAGAAATATTGGCTTTTTGGGAATTCGCTTCATTTACCTATCTTGAAGAAGCTTTTGGATTTCAATCAATAGATAAATTCCGAAGCTCAGCGAAAATTGAACTTAACATTAGTCATCTGTTTGAGAATTAGAACGAGAACCCACCAATTTATCAGTTTGAGTCTCAAAATGGAGTGTGGCTTTCAAGATCTCTTCACAACATGTGAAGTAAATTTTAAAGTGTTTTCCATAAACTCTTTTCACTATTGTTATTTCTAGTTAAACGTATAAATTTAGTATGTGACTTTCAATGAATAATGACATTTAAGAAAGGGACAAATTAATAAGAAACTAGCGTGACAAAATTGAATGTCTTAAAAAGCGATTTGCATATACCCATCGAATATGTCGGATCGGTCGACATGTCACAGCTCCAGCTTTTTCCTGATCCTTCTCAACATCTAACACTTTCCACTTCTGTTGTGTCCGACGGCCCGTCGAATATCATGTGACAGAGTCATCGATCAGAATACCGACTTTTATGGACTTGTACTTTACTAAACTAGGAATGCGTCAACCAGCACGAGCAGCCTTGAATCAACTCTTGGTTCTTCGTATCATAACTTCTCACCTAGCCCAGTCTATTCACTTCAGAACACAAATGCCAGTCTCCGCCAAAGAGATAGTATATTTCAGACACACGTGGTTTATTTACAAGGGAATCATACCATAAAATGGGAAATAATAATTGTACGCGGCCAAATCAAAGTGAGTGTGAGTGTAGGTGACTATATCTAATAGATTGAGAATGGATTAAGTATGGTAAATCGTATATATATATATATATATATATATATATATATATATTAATAATCCATAAATCATTCCTAACAGCTGCATTCATTTATTTTTCGTTCGGATATAACAGTTTCTAATAACACGATGTCTTACTCATGTCATTTACTTTCGCATATATAAACAAGCTAGCACAATTTCGCATACTTGTAAATATTAATATATTTGTATTCATGTCTGCACACGAAAGTGCATTGCAGTGTTTAGTGAAAATCAATTATCAAATTCACATGACCAAATAGTCAGTAGAAAAATTAATAAACAAGAAAGTAACGGATTGTAGCAAGTGGTAAAATGTGTTTTAGCATCGTAAACAAATAATATGCTGGCATACAGAATTATTTCAGTCAGTAAGAGTATGGCGTATTTGCTATTGAACCTGCTGACAGGTAAGTGAGTAGCACCAATCGGTAGAACGTTTTAATTGTATCTCACACAAAAACTATGTTTCAAAATTTCTGGCATTGTTTCTCTTATTGTTTAGAGGAAGTGGAAATAAAAATATTCTCTTGATTGGTAGAGTCCTTCTCAATAAACATAAGGAATTAAGAACCTCTGATAAAACACTATCCTCTTTTAACGTAGTGCTATTGCCGACTTTATAATTTAGATTTAAATACACCATAGGATTGTCAATACCTGCAACTATATAAATTCATAAGAAATTGAATAGCTGTTTGAACCACACTTCGTAAATGGTAAGATGGAATTGTTCATGAATGACCTTTCCATACTCTCTACATACTGCAACTTATACCATCTGGTCATTGTTTCAGTCTTCAGTAATAAGGATCTTAGAACACGTATCACAATTTTATGGGAAATATTCCTCTAATATCACTGAATACAAGCGCTTAACCAATAGTGATTCTTGAAAACATTAGCATATACGCCAACAAACAGGGGAGTAAAATCCCTCCGCTCAACAATATGCCCGTTCATAACAGTTTTCACATCGAAAAGCCACAAAGTTTTATATTAATTAATAGTATTAAACTGAAAGATTTCGAGTGTTATTTTCATCTATGTATGCAAAAAGTACTCCTTGTACCAGATAGAAAATAGCCTTTGTCAGTAAACTGATAACTTCCAATATCAGACGTTTAAGGTAGGCACCTTTTTGCTACTTCTGAATCTAAATTAAAATTTAGGTTACTATGTACATAGAAGAGTCATTTGGTTGACTATCATGCTCCTAAATAATTTTGGTTTAACACTTCCATCCACTCTCCCATAGCTGTAAAAGCAGTACCCAGTTTTAATCGGTAGTATTTTCCAAGCAGTACATGCCAATACATCGTTATCTAATTTTTATTATCAAAGTAGTAACATGCTCGTTAAAAATTATTGCACAGATTCATAATTATTTACCATTCTGAATTTTCCGTTATAAATAATATAACTCAGCCCAATACATAAGAAGGCAAGTGACAATTATTTCCGCAATATAAAGCAATCTACAGTTCATGCAGCCATAAGTTTACGTTCTTCATTGAAAGCATCACAGTAATTCCAACATGACCTCTTATGTTGAACATCAATATAGCTTTTTTCTTCCTGAAATTTATTCACCGGGCAGTAACAGTTCACCGAGAATTCTTTAAAATAAGTAAAATGCATCAAAAGACTTGAAGTTAAAAATTAATGCTTAGCATTTGGACAAGGAAAAAGTCATGCGTTCGTAGCTCTCCTGATAGTCACTTTCTAAAGAAAAGTAGGCATGAATATATTAACTACTCCCAAAATCATTTAGCAGCCGATAAGTAGTTTATTCCCTAATCCTTCTGATTACCGCACTTGATATTAGTAAATGAATCTTTAATTACGCTTATGAATCATGGACATTAGTAGAAGATATCTTCATACCTCTATGGCATTATCATTTTTGACTGGTAAAATTCCAATGGTTTGTAATAAATCGTGAGATATATATATATATAATCTCGTTATCAAAATAATGTAACCAGTTTACATACTGATTCATAACTCTCTTTACAAGATACCATTTGAAATAATTCCTGACTACAAAACGCATTATTTGGTTTATCAACGGAGTGCTTTTCTTCATTACGCAAAAATTATACGCTGTGGGAGGTAGGTCATCCAATTAATTGGCATCACTTACCTTTTGGTAAATTACGGTCATGACATTGTAAAACCGTCATTTCTTGAACGGGCTAGTTCGTGCTAGGGCTTGGTTCATTGGGGACAAATAATTTAAGAAGCATCAGAGGACATTTGTGGTCACCTCAAACTAGCAGAATACATAGTTTATTGTTTACTTCTTTGCTTTCAAATGAAGCTATACTTAATTGCTAAGAATCATCTTGGAAATAAAGTCATAAATACCCTCTATGTTGAGTTTAGAGTTTCATATCCATATATAGTTAATTGGTAGCACGATTTTCGCAAGTTCATGTGAAATGCATTGATTATGCCTGTTTTGTGAACTGTATCATAGGTCTTTAAGTAGTTTTGGGTGGAGTTTATCTACCTTCTTATGACTTTTCTGAGTTAAAATGCTTAGAAAACTCACTAGTATAAATTCATGACAGGTAATAGTCTACCATATTTAGGAAATTATCTATTTTTTTCGTTCAAGTCTAAGAGATCTTGAGGTTAACGTAAATAGAAAACTGAACCTCGATGAACTGTAAATACAATAAAAGCTAACGGTGATAACTGCACCACAGTAGTGATCAACCGCTGTACACATCTCTAAAAACAATAAGCCTATTGTTTATAAAGCGAGACCGATAAGTCCTAGGTTCAAATCCCGCGGGCGGGGTCGTGGAAGCGAACTGCTGAGGAGTTCCATACTAGAACGAAACGGACGGCCTGTGTTTTCAGGTTTTCTACGGTGGTCTAGCTTTAATCGATTCGTGAATTCAACTATTAAATTACCATAATACCCACAAAAATCCTTTATGTTTATATAGCTCTTAGTCAATGAGTTGTCTATTCTTCCGCTCAATAAATAATCGTTTTAAGTTCAAACGATTAGATGTTTGATATCAGAATGGCTTAGTTATCGATTGATTCAGTTTTTAACGTTTGAGATTGTGTGTACATAAACATGCTGAATCGTTAATGAATTTCCTTCCAATTACTCCGAAGAGCGAATTTTCAAGCAACACCATATCTGTATACATTTTAGAGACACTGTTATGTGATGTTTAAATAAATCAATGACTTCTTAGTATTGATGACTGTTGTAATTTTGAATTCCAAATACAATACATTCGTTCGGGCTCATCTGATACTTCTTGATTAAATTGCGTTATTCCTGGGATTACTAGTTCATACTACAATTCAAATACTCCTAATTATCATATTGGCGTCGCGACTGAGCCTGTGATGGAACGGTTAAATATAAATTCAGATTTTAATGCTTTTGAGGAGTACATGGAAAGGTTCGAAATCTGGGCTATGACCAAAGAAGATGATGATGATTTTAATATTGTGGCCCATTTCCTCACATTCATCGGGAAAGAAGCATACAGCCTTATAAAGATTTTGGCACTTCCAGACAAACCGATTTCACTCCCGTATGCAACTCTCAAGCAACTTCTGTTGGATCATGTAAAGTATACAAATTCCGAATGCGGTAAGAAAGGAAAATCCGATAAAATGACTCGTCAGAACATCAGGAATTCCACTTATTCAAACAGTCGTCGTAGTTCGATGCGTAATCAAATTTATTCAGATAATACTTCATTGAGTTGTGAAACAGTCCATGATGATGAGCACAAGTTTAGTAAATGCATGTTCTGCGGCAAGTTTCACCCATGTAATTCATGTATATTTCGTAATTCTAAATGCTTTAAATGTGGTATAACTGGACATATTCAGTCAGTTTGTAATACCATGGTTCATTTCGCTGAAAGTAATGCTAAGATGGATGCTTCTAATGATCAGTTATCTTTATCTAGAAGAGGTATAACGTTATATAACAGTCCAGAGTTGAATGAAACCCAGAGTCATTGGGAGGCGAAAATTCTCAACCAATCAACTTATCAGATTTCTCATGTTATTGTACCAGATATGGTTTGTCGTAATAATTCACATACTTCTGATGGAATTTCTTACAACTCTGAGAATAGAATGTTAAATAAGTCAAATCATGATCAAAAACCAAATTCAGTCATGGTAGATGTTGAATTCCCTGATGATCCATTACCTAATGAAACTCTTAATCAATTTGAGGAAAATATTTCAGAAGAATCGAATTCTGATATCATATCAAGTGTCAGTGGTCCTCATAATGAATTTATCTCTAATGATATTCCTCATGAATGTGAAAAATATGTTTCTTATGAGTTGAATTCTAGTCATATTTCTGATGTTATTGTGTCATATGTTGGATACTCTCACGAACAATGCATGTTGAATAGAATCCCTAGTCAGGGGTATAATGATACAGAGGGGATGGCAAAATTTACCGAAGCAACCAGAGAACCAGTTTGCCCAGAAGTGAAGTTTGCACAGACAGAGAATCCAAATCAAGTCCAAGATTATCCTAATGAATATGAGGCAGATGAATGTTTTCTATCCGATTGTTTCGCAGGTAAATCAAGCCTAATTGAATCACGTGTGTTAATTACATATATCAATGTATATCCATCTGTGTATTCTAATATGAATAACAAAAAGAATATGTATCATGATTTTTATTCAAGTCAAAGTCACATGATGGAATACCTCGAATTATATATCAGTGTTTATTCCCAAATACTCGTATACAGTAGTCGATGCGTGAGATTTGAGAAGATACTGCAAATTGGAAATGTCATATTGGCTAAAACATTGCGACATAAGGACCCAACATTATTTCGTGGGGGAGGATATTGTTGAAAAGTATATGATGCAAATTCTAAATATCAGTGGTTTCACTACACAACCGACATGCTGATTGTATGCAATTCTAGAACCCAGGTGAGTCTGTTCCAATTTCCGTTGTTAATTCTAATACTAATGAGTGCATTCTAGATAATACAGAGTGTACATTCAATACACCATCGGACAGATACACCTACAATTCAATTCGAGCTGTGGCGGATGTGATGTTTAAATAAATCAATGACTTCTTAGTATTGATGACTGTTGTAATTTTGAATTCCAAATACAATACATTCGTTCGGGCTCATCTGATACTTCTTGATTAAATTGCGTTATTCCTGGGATTACTAGTTCATACTACAATTCAAATACTTCTAATTATCATATGTTATCAAACTCATAATTATAATTTTGATGTGACATGTATTCGATGTATAAATGTTCAGGTAGTGGACGAGTTGTGAGGTATTTATTCAGGTGTTTGGGATGAATTACTAAGGCATCAAATACATACAGTAAACTTACGATCACTTACATTTTATTTTTGACTTATTGTAACAAAACAATAATACACAATGCAGTTAACCATCTTACAATTTTGTCATATTACACCTATCGGACAATTTAAATGGATCACTCTTTGAAAATGTACACTTCAAAATGTTGTTTTCGGAAAGACCAGAAAAGGAATAAGAAGTTGGTTGTTTGAGAAGAAATATACTGACATTTTCCATGAGCTTTACTTTCTGCCTTTTAGCCTACCACGTTGAATTAATCAAAAATTATATACAAAGAAACTCATCATTGAAAATTCAGTTTTATTTTAACTGAGAGATGCTTCAAGTTTGTTTGAATTCCTGTAGTACAGAAAACACACAAGTGACATGGATACTTGGTTTGTAGGGTTACAGACCCACTGGATCTATCCATATACTTATTTGGAAAATTAACTCAGCCAACCGTCAGCTGCCACATGTATATTTGTTTTAAATAATCCCACACATAACGGCTGTTTTATGTGCTCTAGTTTCAGGCTTATAAATCATTTACTCTAAAAACCATTTCCATAAATACATGCTTTTTGTACTAAATCAATTGATTTTACTGAAGTACAAAATTTACCTTATTAATACCAAAAAAAATTATTCTCGGTAGCAGGTAAGAAAAGCTTATTCTTCATATTTAAGCGTTTTTCGCCAATAACATCTATTGTAAAACCAGCCTTAACATTGTGCTAATGTATATGTTTATCTTTAAATGTAGTTAGAAAACCTAGATTGATATAAACATGTAACGAAAAAAAATCGAAAGGATTTCATTTTCCTAGAAGTTTATGGACACCTAAAGGCTGTATTTAAGATCGAGCTTTTTTAAAGGTTATATTACACCAGTATAATTATGTAGACGCATATTCAATAACAGTTTAAATAAAGTCAGCAGAAATCATACGACTTACAGCTATTGGAAACGGTATTCTACTTGTGATCTGATCTATACAGGAATGTAAGTTTTGTAGCTGAATAATAGCATGGACAGAATTCGCTGAAAAAGTTCACTACGTTTTAACCATCCATATATGTCTCTTATACTTCTGTTTTAACAAGAAATTAATGTGGAGATATATTTGAATGAATATCTTAAACTATATGAAATATGCAGGCGCTCGAAATCCCTGAATAAAAAATAATACATCAAATTAATTCGAGACCTAGGTATAAAAAAGAAGACGAGAGTGTTTATCTCTTCCGAACAAAGACTGACTAATTTTTATTATTTAAAAACCATTTCAGGTTGACGGGTGAGCTATCCATGAGTTAGTAGTCAATTTCATCGAAATAATTATTCAACAGACTCCAAAAAACTTAACGTGACAATTAGCAATAATAAATGCTTTGGGTATGTAAATCAAGTTGATAAACAATGAAAGATATAAGTGATCATCTGTTCGCCACTTACTCCAAAAATTCAATCGCTTATTTGGAGTACTGCTTTCTAAATACAGTTAGTTTCGTGAACTGAGAAAAATTTATAAAATTTATTTTCGTTATTATATAATAATTCTACCAGTATACTGATTGGCAGAAAACTGGCTTTTTATTAGAGCTTTATGTATCTAACTTCTGACAGGAGACAAGAAAAAGAACAACACGATACCATTACTTTTTCATTAAATGGCACATACTATATACCTGCTTTGTTTTCACGCTTTATTAAAGGGTTAAAACCTGAGATGGCGTTGGAATTCGTCTTGATTAGTCAATCACAAACTATTTACGTATCAAATAGGCGTTTAGGTAGCGACGAGTAAATAATGAGGCAGGTCACTTCAGTAAAACTCGGAAAAAAACGTAACAGAGTCTTTATGTCCAATGTGTCTCAAATATCAAGTAAGGCAACTCGAAACCCTCTCCACATGTTTTCATCAGCCTATATGCTTATGAGAGAATCTACATGTACTGAAATCCAAGGTGCCTTACAACTTCACATGCTAATTTTAAACTGCGTCAGTATTAAGGAATAATCACTAAGAGCTATTGCTTCTACACAAGCCAGAGTATAGTGTACAAGTCTTCGAAGATCTTTGCGCTGTCATTAAAATTAGTCACTTTTCTCGAAAATTCTAAAGCATTCCTTTAAATTCACAGTTAAATGGTGAAACTCAAAAGTCAAAGAATAACTAAACAATCGTAACATGTTGCAGAACAGAATAGATTATGATCATAAATATGTTATGTCAAAAACAATCTAGGTCAGTACTCTAACTCTGTGCTTCAAAATTTCACTTTGAAAACCAGCCAGTGCTGATTCCTAAAAACCAGCAACGCACTCATAAGATTATGAAGAAGAATTACGATAGCTTGAGTCAGATGATATATAAAAAGACTCCGATTTCCCTACTTTCGGAAAATTTTGGGGTTTTCCTCAAAGTTTGGGGTGATCTCTAGAATCTTAAGGAAATGTTGAAGAAATCCCCGGAATTATGAGGAATTTATCTGATAAAAGTTTTCTCAAAATAGGGAGATTCAGATGGTGTGAGCAGATTATTCGATCGGGTATTAAGGGAATAAATTAGAAGTGATTATAAACAAATTAAAACATAAGTTATGAGAAAAAATCATGACGTTCCAACTCACGGCTAACTATATTATACAAGCCAGTATATTTCTTATGATCCAAGTAGAAGCGCTAACTAAATGTCTCGTTTGAAACTTCCCCAAGAGTTTGTTAGAAACAATGCACGTTACAATACCGGTCTACTTCCAAAAAAATATGGAATATGGCATAGTCATATGATAGGTTGATCAGTACACACTACTGAATCATATATTCATTATCAGATTTATCGTTGCTGTGTTTGCAAATGAATAAATATGTACCGCCTATATGTTCCATGTGAACTCACAATAATCATTGGTCTACTAGATTTGTCCATCGATAGTTAGTGTCTCATTAATGAAATATTTAGAGGCCGTAACCTTTTGCATTCAAATATTTGAGGCAATTATCAGCGGTTTGGTGTAAAAATTACTCTGGACTATTAACTTTATCCTCAATTTACAACTTGACAGTTACTCTCCGATCTAGGTCTATCATTCCTGAAGTAGGCTTGAGAAAGGCACGCAGTCAAATTCTTACGGTGGATGGTGAAAAATCTAACATAACAATCATAGCATCCTTCTATCCGCACAATTTTTTTCACATCCATTAAGGGCTAAGTAATGTATGACAATCTCCCCGAGACATCGTCGGTTGTATCTATTGTTGGATGAACCATATAAATACAAGTTTACGACCGACTTATCCCTTCTTCGGTCTCCCAAATGCATATTTGGTCTATTTCACAGGAATCGTATCACTAAGGGCATAGAGTCCTCTCAGATAGGAAGCAATTACTTAGACGTACGCAGACATGTCACTGATACTCATTGGATTCACTCACCGAAAAACAAGGTAACTGCTGGACAGCCGTGAGTAGATCAAAATCTAGCATCTATGATCTTTTAATGGTCACGTAACTTTCTTTTAGGATCATGTCCATCCACATGTCATTGATGAGACCTCTAATAAATCAAATTCTGGGAAATACAAGAGCAATCAAACTGAAGGACAGGGTCGAAAACCCATGAATTACGACAAAGAATGTATTTGTAAGATGATCAATGCTTCGAGGTTTACTTGATCTAAGCTAAATTATCTGACAAGGATGCCTGTATAAACATCTTCAGCTTGCATGTATCTGACAATACTAATAAGGTCAACAACAAGTATGTTGTGAAATTACGAAGCTATTTTTGTTTCTTTTTGCCTTGATATATCAATATACTCCAGCTCCTAAGAGAGCAATGATTAGAGTGCATGTGAGTGCAGTACTGTAACTCAAACAACTCGAACTCACGGGAGGTGTTCTTTTGTAGTTGCATTGGACCCCCACCACACGACCTCTGAAACTGAGCACATAATTACTGAAAAGACTTACACTCAGCAACTGACAAGAAGAAAAGGTTAACTGTAGCGAGGGCGGGAACAATAATTTAATAAATCGGATGGCATGGATCAGCCTGGCAGTAGTCGTTATTCATGTATAACTTATTACGTGGGCACCATGTTTCGGTCATTGAAATATAAAACGAATTAGCTAGGTGTACCAGAGATCCATATGGATGGAGATTCACCATGTGGAACTTGGAGTAATTAAAGTAATAAGAAGTTACATGAGGATGAAGTTGGATGAGTCGTCAGGTATTTCAGTGTTTGTGAAATAACTTCGACAATTTCATAGAAAACCGATCTCTAGACTCTATCGATGTTGCTTGGGATGTAGTGGAGAAGGTGGTGTAAATTTAGTGACTCCATAGTAGTATTGGTCCTAACCACACAATTCTCAAAGCTGAATATGAGATAACTGGGAAAATGTATATTCAACAAGCAACACGAAGAGGTCAACAATGGAGAAGTCGGAAATATTCATTAGAGATTAATTGGATGACATGGATCAACATTGCAGGAGCGGGCATTCTTGTGTAAGTTATCTATTTTATTCATATTAAATATATTGTTCTATCTCCAGCCTAAATGTATTCTCCATCATATGTTGGTGATTATTACGATATGACGAGTCAGTGTAGATAGTGATGTGATTTCCACGAAAGATCTCATAGAGTAAGTAGTCATATCATGACAAATCTACAATTTTAGGATTAGATCTATTATTAAAGCAGTATTAACTACGGAAAAGACAATAATAGAACACAATTTTAAACAGTATGCAAACAGGTTTACCAATCGTGAGTGTTAATATCACCCTG